TGTGGAGCGCAAGGAATGCGAACAATCTGATGGGGGGAGTGGGGGGGGTACTGTTTTTTTCCCAAGGACTGATCATCAGCACCCCCTTGGATAAGTGTGGTCGTCAGATTTTATCAAGGACGAAACCAGATTTGTGTTTTTTTTTTTCCCCCCTTACAAAGTTGCGTCTCCTGTGAAATATTGTGCAAATGTCTTCGGGCTACGAACCCCCACTGTTCGTTAAAATACCTCCATTGAAAAAGCGCCAAAAGCAAGCGGAGACAATTGAGATTTAAGCAACAAACGCGACAACAAACCGTGCCTGTCGAACGCAATCGGCACGGATTAAGAGAACACAAATGTACTAATTACGACTCCTGATGTAAGGCTGCGCCGTACGGGCAGGAACGTCGTGTTCCGGGCTGGTGCGCGCACACACAAAAGACACACACACACACACATCTCGTCGTAAGCGGCTTCAGCGGGAATAAAAATGGGAAGTGACTATGCCCCGTGTTTTTTTTTTTTAAACAAAGTTACACTCGCCAGCGTGCAAAGTGCGCAGGGTACTTGCAGCCACAGCGGCATGAAATGCATCTAATGCCACTTCAGCCATCACAAAAGCAGTCTGTTAGATGTAGGCGAAGTGCGCTGCAAGCAGCACAAAACAGGAGAGACAAAGATCCCCCACGTGTAGCCGACTTACGCCTTTGGGTAAAGTAAGGCTGTTAGCGAGCGCCTATGACGCTGTGCACGAGCGCACAGCGGGAGTGGTGTGGTGTGGCTAGCACCGCGCCCAGCGCCCCTTAGTCTCCCAAGTGCTCGCGTTTCCACACACACACACAGAGCGCACCGGGGACCCATTTAAGTCCAAGTCGACCCAGGCGAGGCGCAGGAACGGTTGAGACAATCATAACGGATGTTCGCCGTGATCGGGAATCAAGCGCAATCAGAATACTTATTTATACTGGAGGAATCCGATGAGCTGTAAGGCTTTTTTTGTTTTGTTTTCACAGAAGTCCAAACTCCGGCTACGATGTTTGTTGTGCAGTGCGCCAACTGCTGTGCCACCACTCCCCCAGCACAAGCAGCGCACACGCTCTTAATGGTGGCAAATTGTGCGAACAGCGCGCACACTGAGGAAGCAGGGAACACGGCTGGGCTAATGGAGCCACTAGCTCACTTGGCCATGGTTCCAAAGCACTCTCAAGATATGTTCCAGCTCTCTCAAGAGGGGGGGGGGGTACATCTCCTACCGACACCCGGTAACAACGGTGGCGACACCGCCACCAACCCACCATCAACGCACATCTCCTCCTCCCACCACACAGCAGCATAAGGGCACCCCCCCCCCCATCCTCATTGTGGTGGTGGGGGGGGCACGAAAAATTACGCTCGATGCCATCTATTGCGCAGGTCAATCCACTGCTGGATGAGAGCCTCCCCTGAGATTTCAGCCACCTTGAGCCACGAGGCCACCTCCATCACTCGAATGCCAGCCCCGATAATGCACCACAACTTACATTTGGACAGGGACAGGAATTTCGTTTGTTGGGGTCCCCAAAGTTGAGTCGCTATCCCCCACCCAATGAACATGGAGAGGCGTGGGGGACCACTTTCCCCTGACCCCCCCCCCCCCCTTCCCCGGCCTTCCACCACCCACCTGGTCCTTGGTGCTCACGTGACTCGACACTGTTTCACAGCGTAAATGTGGTAGACCGCTATTGAACTTAAAATCTAAAATTGAAGCGGGACTCGAGTGCGGCGGGAGGGGCGAGGAGGGGGGGGGGCGAGGGGGGGGGGGCAGAGGGGGGGGGGGCGAGGGGGGGGGCGCGAGGCACCAGCTCAAGAAACGGTTCCGAGAGAGAGAGACGACCACCAGTCAGTGGTGGAGAAGAATTTATTCATTTTGATTTAAAGCTTTCGTGACTGCAGGGATTCATATTCTTGGTTCTTTCGGTAAAGTTATTTCGGTAAAGTCACGTATTATTGTTTCCCTTATACGTGACTTTACCGAAAGAACCCAGAATATTTTTGTTATTGTTCTGGTTCTCTCCACAATCTAGGCTGGGATTGGATGGGGACTCGAAAAAAAACCCCACTCAAGAGGAGCGGTCACGCGAGCGATGGTGTTGCGGCTGCCCCCGTGCAGTGACTACATTTCCCCGGCTAAATTTTGCAATAGAAACAACTACGAGCTTCGAGCGGCTCCGCAGAGCCCCTGCCAGCAAATATTCTCCAAGCACGCACGCATACACACACATGTAGGCATTCCCTTAGACATGTTTCAAATCGAGTGTCGTTTTATTTCAGTTCCCGCCGCGAACATCAGCAAGTTGAGGGCAACGCTTCATCTCTCTCCCCCTCATCTCTTCTTTCGCAGCTACAACAACTTTTAAACTTTCCCAAGCCGCGTGTGCAATCGCCCTGCAATGAGGAAGGGTTACGCAATGCTTTTTACCCGGCTTAAAAAAAAAATCACAAAATTCCCTAAGAGTGGAAGTAGTTAATACACTTTTTTTTATATATATACCGGTTTTAGAAAATGAGAAAAGTGAAAAATGCAGGCAAAGAGAGTTTCCTTTTTCTGTTGCCGAGCTTGTGTTGGGGAGTGGTAACACAAATTCGGGGGGGGGGGGGAGGGTGGGAGTGGAATGGGGGGCACTGCATCCAGTATACCAGCTCCAGCCTAACCGCGATCGGGACAACATTCAGTCAGAAAATTAATGCCCAGGTCAAGTGCACAATGGGACGTGGCTCACAGCCAACTGCACAGCTTCTATATAAAATAAATAAAATCAATAAAAGATGCCTACACACGAGTTCTCTTCATTCGCTCTAAGGCCCGCGAGAGACCACTGGCAGCCCCTGCTGGCCTTCAGCACCGGACCCCGACAATAGACGAACGTGAAAACACTCCCCCCCATCATCGTGCTGCTGTCAAACTCTCAATGGTTACAACAAACATGTGCCCCCCCCCCCCCACATCGGCGATAGTGCCCCCCTCCTCCTCCTCTCACCCCACCCCCCCCCGAAAATGTATGGAGAACCACTGGTTCAGTATACACGGAGATGCGAGACTTCGTTTTATCGCCTGCACACCAGCAAATAGGCTGGAGGTGTGCAGGTGCCCCGTGGGTGGATTGTTCCATCGCAGGATTTCGAGAAATGGCGACGGGCGGCTTCGGGGTGGAGTGAGGGGGGGGCGGGCTTCATCCAGCAGTGGATTGTTCATGGCCGATGAAGACGACAATGGCTACATGCCTGAAACGACCCTCCGTTGGCAGACAGCGACAGCTTTCTCATCTGTATTCCGTTATCTTTTCGTGCAGATTTTTTTCTTTTATTTCTTTCTGGTCAGGGAGAGATGCGAAATGAAAGGCGACACTTCAGCGTGTTTGAAATTAGTGTCTGGGTTCACGGTGTTCCTAATGGGTATCGCGCGCATTGATTTTTCTCGCGGCTTTGAGGTTTATTTTTTTTTCTTTGTCGAAACACAAAAATTTGTTAACAAAAAGATGAGCAAAAATACTTCCATTTCATCTTTTTTTTAAAGAAATATTTCTTTATATTTCCACTTCGCTGGCGACGCGTTTTTGCACTTTCAGAGTTCGTGCTGACATTTCACGGAGCTTGGCAACAGTCTGAAAAGCAGACGCATATATTCTCGCCCAAGTGCCTCAACTATTGCTGCCACCGCCAGATGATGTTCGTCCTCACCTCGGACGGTGCATATCTACCGGTGAGAACCTGCCCCATAATCTCAAGATGGGGTTAACCGAAGAAAGTTGCTGCTCGTTGCATTGCCTGGTAAAAGCAGCTCCAAAATAAGCAAGAAAAAAATGCACAACAAAGCACCGCTTAAGAAAACGGACTCCAAAAAGAGCCAGGATATGAACTTTTGAGATCCAGGATTTTTTTTGGGGGATTTATCTCTTCGTCACCCATCCTCCACCGTCATCTCCACCCCCTTCCTTGCATATGCAACCCCCCACACCCGCTCCCCCCTCCGCTTTCCCGCTGTGCCTCCCATCCTGGTGTCACTCCCTCCCATATTCCCGCTAAAAAAAAAATGTGGCTCCGAAAGTCTGGCCTGTAAACAGTCCCAATCAAGAGAAAACAATGGGATTACCCTCCTGATTAACCCAGTGCCTGGGGAGATGGGGGATGGATGAGGGCAGAGGGGGAGGGTGGGCACCAAGGGGTCGCATATGAATGGGATGAGAGGGCTCAAGGGGGTATAAAGGTACCTGCTACTTGGCACACTGTCTCTGTCAACCAAGGGCTACTCCTGAAGACAAGAGCTTGCAGGTAAGAGGGGACATCATCTTTAGTGAGTTTGGGGGCTTGGTCGGGTCTTGGTGGTCGGACGCAGCCTTGTCTTTTAAGCGCCTGCCACAAGGCCACGCACTCGCAACACGGTGTTAACGGAGGGTGAAACTAGTAGGGCATTAAAATGACAATGACGAAATATGGCTTCGAGGGGGTCAAAGTTGCGCAACGGAGAGTGGTTGTAAAGCGTCCCATCTGCTACAACTTTCTTTATCCTGAAATTGTCTCTCTCGTTGGCTATTTAATGTCCTATTTGGTGGTTTTTTTTTTACTCTTGACAATTAAGAGCAGTGTTGGGCGTTTTGGTGTGGCAATTATTGGTTCCTTTAAGCAGTGGCTTCCACAGCAGCGGTGGCACGGCCATTCGAGTTGTCGTGCGAAAAAACCGAATAACCTCCGATCGATTTTGTTTTCTTCCATTGCACAGTTTAAGGAGCGTGTGGGTGTAGGGGGTCCGCTTTTAGAAACGGGAAGTAAATCAATGGGAGCTGTAATTGTCTGCCCCTTACTCCGAACTCCCGATGCTGCCCTGTGTAAACGTTAACCCCGCGCCGCGGATCTGCAGGTCGAGCCTCGTGGCCACCGCACACTGCCCTAACATGAGCTCTGTCTGCGAATTCAACAGAGCAGTAAGTGCTTAATGTTGGGGTAATGTGCGGTGCGCGCAAAAAATCGTCGGCCTCACAACATCGCGACAACGCCCCGTGAGCGCGCTCGCTACGAGGTGTTTAATCAGCAGCCAACACCACAAACCCATCACTACCACCAAAACCACTACCACCACAACCACCACTACCAAAACCACTACCACCACAACCATCACTACCAAAACCACTACCACCACAACCATCACTACCAAACCCCACTATCACCACAACCATCAACTACCACCACAGCACGCTTAACAAAGCCAGAGATCGACCGAATTATTGTTGGGGTGGAGTGATGTCCGGACAGCGGCCAGCCGGGAAATTCGTAAGCGTAGATTATTATTTTTGTTAATAGTAGTTTGACGATATTGTGACGGTACACTATATAGCGCGTAAGCAACACGGAGGGGGGGAGGGGGGGGGGGGGACCTGGCACCCCAGCGACTGCGGTAGCGGCACGAGGGCCAGTTTCCCGTGACACGCACGAGCTGTCGATGCACATCGCTTGCTGGGTCTCTCACACGTGGAGTCGAGTCGCGTTATCCGACCGCGTGTACTTTGAACGCACGCCGCCTTTTGCCGCTGACATTTGCTGCGGGGCTCGATTTTACCCCCCCCCCGCCCCCCAAAGAGATTTGACGATTTCGTTACAGACAGCGGTGGTGGTGGTGCGTGCTGTTTACAAATCTTGAAATCTCGCAACATAAAAAAATAGTTAAAACACTCCGGGGGGTCCGGGTACCCCCCCCCCCATCGCATTCACTCCCCTGCTAGTGGACAGAGCGCGTACATGGGGATGGCGCTGGCTGTGTGTGGTTGCAAACGTGTTGTGTGGGTTTGTATATTTAATTGAGTGATTTTATTTTATTAACCGTGGCGTGTCATTACTGAACTTCCGTACCCCTCGCCGCCCCCCGCCGTACTTTCGTCTCTCTTCGCGCGGTTGAATCACGCCGTGAGCTCTCCTTGTGCGCGTGCATTGGCTCCTTCGACCACGTGTCCCGGCATCTTTTTAATCCGCGATTGCTTCCATTTAAATCTTTACTCTCGTATACGTTAATATATATATACAGCGTACGGCATCTCTCTGGTGAATGCGGCGGTAGCTTTAAGGAGGTGTCAGCACATACTTAACTTACACGTGTGCGCTCTGGCACGCGGTACGCAAAGTGCTTCTCGCTAATGAACGCAATAATCCGGAAGTAATCAACAACAAATATCTCAACGTCGCGAGAGTAAACCATGTTGTTATTATTATGTATACGTGCATTGTGCGTGGGGAGCGGTGGCGCAAGTGGTTAGCGCCGCTCCGACACACGACGCGGCTAACCAGGCCTCTCCTAGGTGCACTCAGCCTTATTAATGAGGAGCTGGCAAGTGTGTGTAAACATGATCACTGGGGAGACAAAGGCACCCGGGCGTGGTACTGGCCACCAACCCGCTCGTGTGCCGTACGGGCCTTCATTAGGCGCTCGCTAACAGCACTTGCCCCAACAGTCTGTTACGCCTATAGAGGATGGGGGGGGGGGGGTATTTTATTACAATAAGAACAGCTTTTTCGCTTGAAAACGTTCTTAAACTTTATTAGAGTGCTTTCTGTTTCTAATACATCTTCCCAAAATGCGGGAGTCAAAAATAGTTACATTTTGATTTCCATTAACGTAACTGACCGTCGTGGTGGGGTTTTTTTGGCCATCACCCTTTCACTGATCAATGCCGTCGTGTCGCAAGTGGCGGTGGGAGGTCGATGGGACCGGGTTCAGATATCAACTTGCACACGATATCAGCCGTGGCAGGGGGGGGGAATCGAACTTGAGTGGGGCCGGGTTCACAGCAGCAGTGAGTCAATGGGGAGGGCCTCCACTCAGATGCGGATTGACAAGGGAGGGGTGGCGGCGGTGGGCTGTGAATTAAAAATGTACCGGGGCTTTGGATTTAAACGCCTTTTTCAAAAGTCACATCTCTATCTTTGGTCACTGGTGGTGTCTTGAAATAATTGCACTCGAAATACAAAGTTACCCCCACCCCCACACACCCCACTTAATAATGGCGGATACTTATCGAGGTTTTATTAATCGTGACGGCCGATGCCACCTTGAGTATGAAGCGATGTTCATTGTTGTTATCTTAGGTTTTTGTTGTTATTCATTCTGGTCAAACCGTATCACAAGCAACTGCTTCGTGCATTTCCCGCAGTGTCAAAAACAATCACCCATTATTTGAATAGATGGGCTGATGCTGCAGGCGCTGCTTGCCCTGTGTGCGAATTTTAAAACGGCGGCTCTTGGCATAACCAAAGTGGAATTACATTCTGCCCGTCATAAATTACTTCGGCTTTTTACATCGTACAACATTTTTTTTTTAAAAGCACGCGATTGATAGACAATATCACGCTACGCCAAGCGCGATTAAGAGAGCAAATTGACGATTCACAACAGTGCAGTCCACAAACTCGAGCGGCACTAAGCGCAACACATCTTCGGATTGCGCGCGGCACCCATCTCCACATTTCCGTCTCCCCCCCCCCCCCAGTTTTGTTTATAGTGGGCCGTCTACGAATGGATCGCTCCGTGTACATTTTCAGATAATCGCATACGATAAGTCTTTGCCGATGTGCATCGGTAATAACCCCCGGCGCCAAAGGGAACCAGATTGTGCTCGTTCCAAGCATCAGCTGTCAGCGGGCGAGTCATCACGACTCGTGCCAGGATTTCAGTTTTATCACCGCGGGTTGCTGTTTGTAACAATCTGTGGCAGTAACTCACAGAAGGGGAGCAGGGGGGGGGGGAGATTCCATTTATCCAATCCGCCGGCGATATGGGGGGGGGGGCGTTATAGTGGGCAGTAGTGGCACATCGTGAGCCGCCGACTAAGTAAGCGAACGGGATCTTGGGCACCCGAAGGCGTGCGTGGTGGGAATTTCTAATCGTCGATAACAATCGCGCACCCCGCTTTAACTATCGCACCCTTTCTTCGCGATGAGAAATATCTCCGTACGTGCACGGTTCATTTTGTTCGAGCGACTTTACCGATTGAGCAACATCGCCACCGCCGCCGATATAACAACCAGTGTTTTGTTATCCACGGTGCTCACCGCCGCAGGCTAAAACCCCCCCCAAAAATTCCTGCTTAGCTTCCGAGATGTGGCGCATTCCGGCTGATTTGCCCCCCCCCCCACCCCCCACGGGCGTTGACGTGAATAATTAACAATTGGGATATGGGCCCTCATTGTGCGTGCCACCAAGGCGTTTAAGCTTTGAGCACAAAGAGGTCCCAAAACTAACCCCGTCTTTGTTGCCGCTGCCCGCTGCTGCTGTTGCCAGCGGTGAATGGTGAGATCCTGGCTTTAAAAGGAAAGTAAAACTTTAACTTTAAATTCCATTGTTGTCGTTATCCCCCCAACCCCCTCTTCTCTCGATGAAACATTCGCGGAAGCTTCCTCCTCCCACCCCCGTCGCCGCTAGTCCTCGCCACTGCTACCCAGATAGCAGTACTTGCTGTTAGAATTATGAGCCGCAGTAAGTGCTTACCTGTTTGGGCATCAGCGGTAGAGGAATTCCGTCGCATAAGATGGCAACGTGGTGGGGGGGGAGGGGTCCCGAAGTCTGATGAGGATAATGATGATGGGGGAGATCGGGGTAAGGGAGGATTCTGAAGATTTAAAAAAGACCTAAGTTGGTTCTTCCAATTCCCTTGCCTCACGGTTCGCGTTCTTCGGCGCGGACGTTTCTCGCATTCCTTTAGACCGCGCGGGCATTTAATGTCCCGCTTGCTTCTGTTTCCTTCCGCGTATTTGTGTGATGTCTCTGTCTTTGTTCGTTCCTCCGTTTCAAAGAACGGATTCCGCAACGATGAATCGTCTCAAGCGAAACGCTCATCTCGACTGGGGTCTTCCCGCACGGCACGCCACGCCACGTGGTCACGACTTAAATACATCGCAGCGCAACGAACGTTCATTAAAGGTTCATGTCCATTGAAGATTGTGTGTGTGCAGCCACACACACACACACATGTATTCAACTCGACTTTCTTGAATTCAAGCAAATTAATAACGACATTAATCTGAAGGGCAAATGTGGCTGGATATCATGCGACTTCACGTGGCCGTAAATAAAATGGCTACGCAGCCTTTACGCAGCAATTACGTAAATGGATGTTTGTATCACGCACGGTGGATCCCTTCCTAGTCTCGCTGTGATTAGTACCAACAACGGCGCTTTCGCACGAGGCGGAGATGTGTGCGAGACGTGAGCTCGGTGGGGCAGCGAGAAAGGAGTCCGTAACAGCCTCTGATGAGTAATGACTATATACACACCCATGGTGTCTTTAACTACCCGCGCGGAAATGAGGGGATTACGGCGTATTAAGGGGTGGCCAACCGCGAATCTCTATATATAGAGGCCTCATCGTGATTGATAGCAATTACCCCCCGCGATTCATGGCATTGCCTCCCTCCGTTTTGTTCAGCCAACTATTTCGAGTCGGCGTTCACCTAATTATATCACTTGGCACGCAGGATACTCAAAACAACTCCTACAACTCTACTTTAAGAATACCTCTGTAATGTCAAATGTAGTTCAGGAATAGCCCTTTCGGTGGCAGCGTTAATCACGTTGGTGATTTTTGTTGTTCGCAGCGACAAAAAGTTGCTAAAGTCTGGGGAAAATGTATAAGGGCATTCATTCATTTGTCGCTTTGAATTGCATAACGGCGCTTTTTGTTGTTTGGCACATGAAAAAGCAACTGACCGGGGGCAGTTTTATAACCGAGTCACGATAAAACTCGCACAGAAACACCCGTGCCATTACAATGTAGACCGCACAGACACCCGTGGTGTGTACAATGTGATACGGCAATTGAGGGAATTTCATCTTTCGACGGCAGCCACAATAATTCTACGGAGGAACTCGATAACAATCGCAACAAAACTCATGGGCGGGAAGCCCCCACCACACACACGCACACCTCCCACGCCTGTAACCTCTCTTAGCACCGACGAAGTGCACCGGTGCAATGTCTTTAAACGCGAGACGGACGGCTCGCCACTAAAGTTCTTTTTTTTTTGCTCGGATTCGCGAACGCGGCGAATCGCCCTCGACTCCTCTCTGGCTGCGTGGCGCATCCCCAACAACGAGTGCTCATTGTGATATATAACTACCAATAAGTGCTATGTTGTTGGGGAATTGCAATGCAAGCACTCTCGACCACGCCATCAACAAACGCACTCTCCGAGGTTACAAAGTAACGCGGTACTTGTTAGTTACGGGTCCGATCGCATTTTAAGGCTGTTGGGGCATTTTAATCATTTCTGTCGGCCGATTGGATATGTGCTGGTCGCGCATCACTGCGTTTGCGATTACAAGTATGAACATGTAAATTGATTGTACATGTACAAATAAATTACATACATTCTCATTTACTGTGTCGCAAATACATTTAATTAAAGAAAGTTAATGAGCTGTGTGTGTGTGTGCGCGCGCGCCAATGTACTGCTGGTGTTGTGTTAAGAGAATGTGTTGCTTTGTAGAGCGTTCACGAAACTCGCACTGACCAGAGTGGCGAAGTATGGGCAAATAACCCCCGAATGCGTAGGGGAGGAGCCAGTCATCTAGCAGTGGAATGCCACGTGCTTAGAATGCCATTTTAATCGGTGGGAGCAATTTCCAAAACACTGCATTTTATTAAACAGCACGTACCCGAGAAGAGTGTGAACTGGGACCCCGGCACGTGTCTGTGTACGCATGTCAACATGTACGAGCGTGCATGTAATTACGGGAATTCTTTTATTGACCTTGCGCATGTAGCCTTGATTTTTTGGCTGCAAAATGAGACCTATTGAATGCAATGTCTTTGTTTAATTAACAAAGTGAACGCACAGAAGAGGCCTCATTAATCTCGAGTTGTTGCCGCGGGAGATCTGGCTGGGACCCCACGTGCCGGAATTGAATCGCGCGTAATTGTCTAATTAAGCGAGTTTTATGTTGAGTTTAACGCGTAGCCGGCTATCGTGAGAAATATCCCAAATAAAAAAAAACCTGGGTTATATCGCGTAAATATAAACATGTTTTGGCTCGCGAAACCAACACTGTGGCTCCACAATTCACAATTGCATAACCCCTCCGCCCCCCTCCCTTGTCTTACCCTGGTCCCCCAGGGATTTTGTGATGTTTTAATTTTGAACATATCCGAGTTAATGGCTTCTTTCACTGGACGGACGGACATCGTGCAGTGACGACACGAGTTGCGCTCCGACCAGGAGGATGGGCGGCACTCAGCGCATTGCAATTCTGTCCGTGCAAAAAAAAAAGATGCAAGCAACGCGAGACATATACTTACATATATATTTTAAAAAAACTTTTCATCAAATTCCAATCCCCTATTGTGCGTTCACGAAAAGCCCGTACTGCACATCGATTATCAACACGCCAGTGATGTTTTACTCCTGTTATTATTAATATCTGGACTCAGCATCCCTCCCCTCCCCCCCCCGTTTTCCACCCCAAGGCAATTTCACGGTTTAAAACAAAGGGCAGGGAGAGAGAAACGTGGAATCGCCGCTGCGAGGTGTGGACACGTGCCTCATTATCTGCACTTCCCATCACAACTGCACGGAAGACCGAAGATGAATCGGCCCAAAAATCCGTCAAACGCACCAGCGCTCTTAACAACAAAAATATGTTTGACTGTTTCCAGCAAACCGTATTTCATTAATGTGGAAATTAACTGCAAAGATAAAACAGAGATACACGTGATGAATTTCGCTATATACTCCCGCTATCCCATTATAATGAATTATGATCATTGCACACATGGCTATCACATTTCAAATAAACGTATATTCTTTCTTCTTACAATCATGCCCGTCAATGTTGTTATTATCGTCAGGGTGTCACCACAGCGAATCCGTGCGATGCAACTGCACTTCGGAAGCAGCGTACGACCACAAACCACATCTCATAACTGCACTCGCATAACCTTTTATCACCAGCCAGGGGGCCCTATTCCACTCGTGGGTGAAGGCTTTCCCAGATAACCACCAGCCTCTCACGCTCTCTACGACAACCCCCCCACGATACTCCACAGTTCAATTAATCTATCGTACAAGCAGTATTCGAATTACAATCTTGTGTAATGCCGTCCAAATTGCGTCGGATTCATGTCAGTGCCAGAAGTCACTTGAGAATCCTGCGGCACATGCACACTTTATCTTGTTCCCTCTCCACTAACCCAAGACGCAGGGTACCCTGTGTTTCCCCCTCCACGTCAATGGGGGCGACGTGCACCTAGCTACTCGAGCGTGCGGTCTCTAACTCTGACATGCCAGAACCGAAAATTGAATTGGCAGTTTCCTTGAAACACAGATAATTTAGGATGAGGATTCGGGCAAGCTCTGGGCATTCATCACGGCCTCGTCAGCCACCCCCCCTCCTTCCCCCACGCAAACACACACCTGTTAAGGATTAAGGATTTGTTTATGGCTAAACAAATATTTATTGCATTTAGTACAGGCCCACGAGGTCGATTACGATCCGAATGCAGCATTCAAATCTGGCTCCGAAAATAATATTATAACGAGAAGATGAAAATATAGATATCTATGAAATAATCTCATGTTTTTATATGAAGTTTACCGTGAAGGCTGACCCGCAGGGAGTGTGTGTGCACAGCACCGGTTATTTCAAAATGACTTGAAATAAGCGATAAGCTGGTTCATAATAAAACACTTTCAACAGCCAATGTGCACATTCCCCCGTGTCCATGTGTGTGTTTTATTCCTTTCGTGTTAAAAATAAAGCTGGGATAAAATACATTTTTTTACGGGGGTTTTTTCGACACTTTGAACTTTCATTCATTCAGCTAATTGCCGATGGCCTCGTGTGTAAGTGTTTAATTATCAACACACTTTGCTTGTCCTCCGCACCCAACCAACACGCATTGGGCCCTTATTTGGCCACCGGGAAACGCTTGTGGCCATTCTCTTGACAGCCCACTTATTAAATCCATGGTGCAAGATGTTACAAATTAATTTAATATTAGCACCTGCGATTATTGGAATTGAGGTTAAGTGGTTTTTTTTTGAGTGGAGATTCAGAAGCGTTAAAATGCATGACATTTTTTTTTACTTATCGTACAATTACCTTTGAATGCTCTTAAGCTCGCCTGCATGTGTACAAGGAATGCAGGATAATATGCGTGCCTGTGCATAAAATAATGCAATGTTAGTTTAACACGTAGCCTTTATTATGCAACGTAATATCTTTGCTCATCAAAGCAAAATGAGCCCACTGATCCGAGTTTGATTCCTGTCTTAGACTTAACGTCATTGTTGAGTGATATCAATACAACAAGTCCCGTCTTCCCGTCACCATCCAGCACTGCTGTGTGTGGTTATATATGCCCAGGGAGGCTTTAATCCAATAACGGATTGACGCAGCTGTAAATGATTGTGAATTAAATCTCTGGGATGAGGACCCGCTGCAGTGTATAAACGCAATCCCTGGGTAGAGGAAAGGAGTCTGTACCGATTTTGGACTCTTGGCTCGAGGCCAAGACAATATTACCCCCGTGCGCCGAGCCAGCCTTAATAGGTGCTCGCCAACACTACTTGCCCATGTGGTCCACTTGACCAAACAAGGGATCCCATCGTTTACTCCATGCGTGTGTGCGTGCAAGCGCGTAGGTATGTGAGCTTGCAAATAAACGCACACGCGTGCGCGAACGAACGCCCACCCACGAACGCTTACACGTGCATTCGTGCAGACGCACACGCGTGCCGATTCCCACGGCTGCCCGTTGATCCACACACGAACGCGCTGATCCACACACGCGCGCGCGCTGAACCGCTCATCCGCTGGCGCTGGCCGCGTCGGCGGTGGCCCCGCGGCGCCGTTTGCTGGGGGTCGAGGCGCCGCACACGGTGGTGCGGTGCATGACTCGGAGCCCCACGGCGCTGGGTGGGGCCTGCGTGGAGGGGTGGGCCTCGTGGCCCAGCGCCAGGTTGTCGGAAATGATGAAGTCCCCCTCCTCCCACTGCAGAGGGTGAAGATAAAATGCGGTCACTTGAAGCAATAAATCTCTTAATTTTATCCAAGGGCTGTTCACATTCCCCCCCCCCGCCCGCTCACCCCCCCACTCACCCCCAACCCACGCCGATGAAACCGCTCCGGGAGGACTTTCAGCAGCCGTCTGGCTGCTGCGAGGACTACAAGATAACGACCCCAACTGTCGAACTCACCCGGCGAACGTCGTCCTGACGTCAGATTGCGTGATATACGCACGGCCCCGTTGCGTACACAAATTAATTTAGGCAAAGAGAGAAAAAAAAAAGCCCCATAAACACTTGGACATTTAAGGATTGTTGACTAAAAATAAAACATTATTTGAAGCCATCGACTATGAATGTCATCCCACATGTCAGCTGATGGTTATTTCATGTTTCCTTGCAAGACAATTCGGCAAACACTCAACTCGTCTTTAAATGAGATTATTTGGCAATCAAAATCATCAGAAAAAAACATTGTAACGACACGAGGCCAGAGATAACTACACCGTGAAGAATGCTATCTAGAGGACATTTAAACTAAAGTCTAATTGGCAATTTTGCCTACAAATACGCACACTTCTATCATAAGTGAAAACTCAGTAAACCCACTTGCAAGCATAGCACAGTGCGCCTTAATGCCTGAAGCTTTAAAATGTGCCGGCTATTCAACATCAACGCAGGGGGAATGTGCATTAGAAGAATTAGTCTGGAAACCAAAACATTCATTCTGGGATGAAAGCAAATACTTTGTCTGAACCAAAGTGCACACAGAAATTCTAGACAGGGTATGTCGCCATATTTACATAATTACAGTGCTACGTGCCATCTAACAACTTGAGTTTGACACACGACGTGCCATCTAAAGACTTGAGTTTGACACACGACGTGGCATCTAACAACTTGAGTTTGACACACGACGTGACATCTAATGACTTGAGTTTGACACACGACGTGACATATAAAGACTTGAGTTTGACACACGACGTGACATCTAAAGACTTGAGTTTGACACACGACGTGACACCTAAAGACTTGAGTTTGACACACGACGTGACATCTAAAGACTTGAGTTTGACACACGACGTGACATCTAACACCTTGAGTTTGACACACGACGTGACATCTAACAACTTGAGTTTGACACACGACGTGACATCTAACTACTTGAGTTTGACACACGACGTGCCATCTAAAGACCTGAGTTTGACACACGACGTGACATCTAAACACTTGAGTTTGACACACGACGTGACATCTAACACCTTGAGTTTGACACACGACGTGCCATCTAAAGACGTGAGTTTGACACACGACATGCCATCTAAAGACTTGAGTTTGACACACAACGTGACATCTAAAGACTTGAGTTTGACACACGACGTGACATCTAACTACTTGAGTTTGACACACGACGTGCCATCTAAAGACTTGAGTTTGACACACGATGTGACATCTAAAGACTTGAGTTTGACACACGACGTGACATCTAACTACTTGAGTTTGACACACGACGTGACATCTAAAGACTTGAGTTTGACACACGACGTGCCATCTAAAGACTTGAGTTTGACACACGACGTGCCATCTAAACACTTGAGTTTGACACACGACGTGCCATCTAACAACTTGAGTTTGACACACGACGTGACATCTAACAACTTGAGTTTGACACACGACATGCCATCTAAAGACTTGAGTTTGACACACGACGTGACATCTAAAGACCTGAGTTTGACACACAACGTGCCATCTAAACACTTGAGTTTGACACACGACGTGACATCTAAACACTTGAGTTTGACACACGACGTGACATCTAAAGACTTGAGTTTGACACACGACGTGACATCTAAAGACTTGAGTTTGACACACGACGTGCCATCTAACAACTTGAGTTTGACACACCACGTGACATCTAAAGACTTGAGTTTGACACACCACGTGCCATCTAAAGACTTGAGTTTGACACACGACGTGACATCTAAAGACTTGAGTTTGACACACGACGTGACATCTAAAGACTTGAGTTTGACACACGACGTGACATCTAAAGACTTGAGTTTGACACACGACGTGACATCTAAAGACTTGAGTTTAACACACGACGTGACATCTAAAGACTTGAGTTTGACACACGACGTGACATCTAATGACTTGAGTTTGACACACGACGTGACATCTAAAGACTTGAGTTTGACACACGACGTGCCATCTAACAACTTGAGTTTGACACACGACGTGCCATCTAAAGACTTGAGTTTGACACACCACGTGACATCTAATGACTTGAGTTTGACACACCACGTGACATCTAAAGACTTGAGTTTGACACACCACGTGCCATCTAACTACTTGAGTTTGACACACGACGTGACATCTAAAGACTTGAGTTTGACACACCACGTGCCATCTAAAGATTTGAGTTTGACACACCACGTGACATCTAATGACTTGAGTTTGACACACCACGTGACATCTAAAGACTTGAGTTTGACACACCACGTGCCATCTAACTACTTGAGTTTGACACACGACGTGCCATCTAAAGACTTGAGTTTGACACACGACGTGACATCTAAAGACTTGAGTTTGACACACGACGTGACATCTAAAGACTTGAGTTTGACACACGACGTGACATCTAAACACTTGAGTTTGACACACGACTTGACATCTAAAGACTTGAGTTTGACACACGACGTGCCATCTAATGACGTGAGATTGACACACGACGTGACATCTAAAGACTTGAGTTTGACACACGACGTGACATCTAAAGACTTGAGTTTGACACACGACGTGACATCTAAAGACTTGAGTTTGACACACGACGTGACATCTAAAGACTTGAGTTTGACACACGACGTGACATCTAAAGACTTGAGTTTGACACACGACGTGACATCTAAAGACTTGAGTTTGACACACGACGTGACATCTAAAGACTTGAGTTTGACACACCGACGTGACATCTAACTACTTGAGTTTGACACACGACGTGACATCTAACAACTTGAGTTTGACACACGACGTGCCATCTAAAGACTTGAGTTTGACACACGACGTGACATCTAACAACTTGAGTTTGACACACGACGTGCCATCTAAAGACCTGAGTTTGACACACGACGTGACATCTAAACACTTGAGTTTGACACACGACGTGCCATCTAACAACTTGAGTTTGACACACGACGTGCCATCTAATGACTTGAGTTTGACACACGACGTGACATCTAAACACTTGAGTTTGACACACCACGTGCCATCATACGACTTGAGTTTGACACACCACGTGCCATCTAAAGACCTGAGTTTGACACACCACGTGACATCTAATGACACGAGCAACCGCGTGCCATGTGCCACCGCCGCCGTGTCACTTTGCAACGGGCGTCGGAAAGCGAAGGCCAGAAACGGTTCTAACCCCCTGGGTCCAATCTAGCATCACAGTAAAGCGATTTCACTCTTTGCATCATAATTACAATTATCTGCCCTTGCCCCCCCACCCGCCCGACTGCCCCCCCCCCCCACCGGCTCCCACCGCCCTTAGCAGACAATAGGAACAAGAATTTTTGTTTTACATTTCGTTCCAAATATAAATATTTAATGAAACGACACAAAAGGAAGTAATTCCCGTTTGAATTTGGCAGCAAAAATAATTGAGTGATTAAAATATTTCAATTGTCAAATATTTACAATTAAAATATAATTTGGGTGCCGCGGTGGCTAGGAGATGTTAACAACCTCGCCTGGTATACAGGAGGTCGGGGGTTCGATCCCTTCCCTGATCCCTGCTGTATATTTGGAGTTTGCATGTTCTCTCCGTGGTATTGTGGATTTTTTTTCTGGGTCCTCCAGTTTCTCCTTTCACATTTAGAATGAACACGCGTTTAGAGTATTTAGCTGCTCTAAATTTCCACGTGATGAGCCACTTTGGTAACCAACTAAAATGTGTGGCCAGGTCACTTCTGAATAAGAGCTATAGAGCTCAGTGGGCCTTATGTGTTGAAATAAAAAAGGGTATACTGTAGTTTATTTTTTTTATATTTCTCCCACTGTACCCCAGCCTAGAGTATTCCGTGCTCTTCCCCTGCTGTGTGTACAGTGTATGTTGAACTTCTTTCGCACCATATGTAGCCAACCGTGCTAATTAAAGGCGCGGGGGAAGGAGAACAAACTGATATATGTGTGCGCCTGTTTCTGCAATGTTTAACTTGTGCTTTTAGATTTTGAATGTATGTTTTCTTGTCTTCTCTGTACGTTAGTTAGGTATTTCTATGCTGTCTGTGCACTCCCATGTTAGTTCCGCACTTCCTTGTGCAGTTCGGTCTGCAATGTGTATTCTGTCTTTCACAATGAACATCTTCATTGAACGTGTACATATATATCCATCGGTGCATGAACGTAAAACCAGCAGATCGTCACCGTAATGTATGCGCGTAGTTTAAACAATTGAAAAGAATCGCCGATTGTTGACAACCTCCTGGACGTCCTAGCCATTGAGATCTTCCAACTCGCGTTATAATACGGGTAACAGGGGTTTTTTAATGCCAGCACCATTTGGGTCAACAATCGACTTTCATAAATTCATGAATAACATCATGCAAGGCATCATCATCTACCTTATAACCGAACAACAAACCAAATGAAAAATGGTTTCCTGCATTTATCCCCCTGCTTATGCTTCTGCCAATGTAACGGGAATTCCATCTTACTGTGGCAGGGGGCAGGGCAATCTAGTGATATCGTCCACTTTTGGTGTCTTACGAATGTTTACTCATATCACTGACTCTGGAGAAGTGGGTGACCAAGTTAGCCACGATCAGTATTCCAACATACTAAACTAAACTCTTTTTTATTTTTCCAGGTAAGAAGCGATTGAGCCACAAGCGATGGCTCAACAAAGTGGCTCATCACGTGGGCATTTAAAGCAGCCAAATAACTCTAAAACGCATGTTGCTTCTAAATGTGGAGAAAAAAATCGGAGGGCCCGGAAAAAAAATCCACGTGACCATGGGTAGACACCACAAACTGTATATATACAGCAGGTGTCAGGGTCGGGATCGAACTCACAAGCCTGCTGAATACCAGGCGAGGTAGTTAACATCTCTCTGTGAGCCATATATTTTAACCATTGCACCATCTGGCAATAGCAATGGTAATGCAGTCTATAATGGGTATAGACTCAACTCACTATACATCACGACAAAAGCCGCCTCCTTAGGGACAGAGCAACAGAACAACTTGACAGCGAGAGATATATGAAACAGCGGGCACGCAAGTACGCAGTGGTGTGGGCTGCTGCTGCTGCTGCTGTGTGACTGAATGAATGTATGTATGCTGAGTGCTACTGCACGGCCGTGTCTTCAGAGCTGGCTGGCTGTGTGATTGTACAGCTGTATAGGCACACGAACATCTGGGATCGGTGGCGCAGTGGTTAGTGCACTGCACTAAGAACCCGGCGACACAAGTTCTACTCCCGCTCACGACCAATAACACTTGCGAATATTTGAACCAGTCCTGGGCCGCCCCAAGGTTGACTCAGCCTTAAATGAGTTACTGGTACGATGTGTATTAAACAGCAGTACTGGGAAGGCAAAGGAGCTGGGTGTGGTGTTGGCCACCCACCCCCTCGTGTGCCGTTCTGGCCTTCATAGGTGTTAGCTAATAGCACTTGCCCCTACAGTCTGCTGAGGCTATACGGGGGATGTTTTTATTTGTACAGCTGTGAAGCTGTGCACTTTTGTGTCTATAGTTGTTTGGCCATGTGGTCGAATGGCTGTGAATGTGTGTGTATAACAGTACCACCGTGTGACTGTACGGATGTACAGCTCTACAGCTCTACAGCTGTGTGTGTACAGCTATACAGCCATGTTTCTGTGTGTCTACAGCTGTAGGACTGTGTGTCTGTATGGTGGTGTGTGGTGTGTGTCTGTACGGCCATGTGTCTGTACAGCTGTAGGGCCTTGTGTCCCGTGTGTCTATACAGCTGTACGGCTTTGTGCGTGTATCTGTACGACCATGTGTCTGTACAGCTGTAGGGCCATGTGTCCATGTGTCTGTGTATCTATACAGCTGTACGGCTTTGTGCGTGTATCTGTACGACCATGTGTCTGTACAGCTGTAGGGCCATGTGTCCATGTGTCTGCGTGTCTATACAGCTGTACGGCTGTGTGTCTGTCCGACCATGCGGCTGTGTATCCGTACAGCCGTATGGCCGCGCTTCTGTGCGCCTGTACAGGTGTACAGCTATGTGTCCGTACAGCTGTTGGAGTGTGTGTCTATGTGTCTGTACGACCATGTGTCTGTACACCAGTAAAGCTGTACGGCTGTGTGTGTGTGTATCTGTGCGGGACGCACCTCGTGCTCGTACTGGATGGAGCCCCCGTCCCGCGTGAACTCGTGCTCGATCTCGCGCAGCAGCGCGCCCGTCTCCTCGGCCTCGGTGGCGCGAGCTCGCGACGCGTCCTCCGCGTCCCACACGAACTCCTCCGTCATGCCCACGTGGAAGCACAGTGTCTGTTCACGCCGGCGTCACGGAGCACAGGGGGGGTGACTGCGGTCGCGGCTGGAGAGAGGAAGGGCCCGTCCAGTTGGCGTCGCTCGACGGCATTCGGTGCGCACCGGCCGCGCGAAGTTTGTCGTCGTTATTATCGTCGCCGTCGTCGTCACCGTCGGCACGGACTGAAACTCTTCTTGTGATCATTAATTCATCGATTACATATGATTTCCACGTTCCCAAATTTTTCAGAATCAAAAATCTTTACTTATCCCGGAGAAAGCCGATGAACTATGAAGCTCTTTTTCACAGATGTCCACTAGGGGCGGGTCAGAAAGTTACAACAACAAACAATTTCGTGCATGATAACTGGTGATTTATCATTCATACAAAAGCAAACGCCAACAATATGCTCAGGGCTGCACGAAGGTTAACGGAGTGATTGAATTGCAATCGGCAAAATGTGAAAAAAATATCGTGACAGCTTATTGAATCATTGAATTTGCCTGCACAGCGAATCATTGCTTGTTTAATTACTGTCATCATTACGGTCATAGCCATCATGAAACTGGGCATATTAATTCATCATTATCGCTACTTACATTATCATGATCACCATCATTACTGTCATCTTCATAAGCTTGATTATGATAATTTCAACATACATAATAACATTCGTAATTAATGACATGTGGTATCCGTGTTATTCTTAAAGAGCAGACGATCACGGACGAAGGTGCTGTGTGTTTCACCGATGGGTACGGTCTGCCAGTAAGCAGCATGCCAACGATGTTTCAAATTTGTACGGCGACACCAGCACACAATGTCCGACTAATTATTATTTTTAAATCTCAGGGGGTCTTTAACGTGCACTGTGAAGCACACGGCGCGGACTACTTTATCATGCCTGCAGTATTAACCAGGATGGCCTGCCGGATTCGCACCATGAACCTATTATACATCAAGCGGTGAATGCGCTACCACCGGGCCATGTCACCATTCCGAATAACGCATTGTCTGGGATAATGAATTAACAAATCTCAAAGCAGACATGCCGGTCCTCCCAGGAAGCACCACGGTGGCTAGGAGATGTTAACTACCTCGCCTGGCATACAGGAAGGTTGTGGGTTCGATCTCGACCCTGACACCTGCTGTATATCTGGAGTCTGCGGTGTGTCTCTCTCGCCGTGGTTGTGTGGATTTTCCTCTGGGTCCTCCGGTTTTTCCCTCCACATTTAGAAACACGCGTTTCGCATATTTCGCTGCTACAAATTTCCACACGATAAGCGGCTTTGTTGAGCTATGATTTGTGGCCAGGTCGCTTCTGAAAAAAACGCTATATAGCTCAGTGGGCCTTACCTGGTAAAATAAAATTTACAGAACTCACACCATCCTACTGCGATTCCCTCCTCGCAGTCTCATAAGTTATTGCACAGCTCAAGACTTTGAAGCGTTTCAGGTGGCTACGTCAGCACTGAAACCTCTTTCTACGAGCCCCGAGCATGAAGCCAGGAGGCTGCGGCTTAGCTCCGTCGCCCCTTCTGCCAAACGCGGCAACGCAGTTTTACACTCAAAGAGGTGCACACAGAGAGAGAGAGAGAGAGCGAGGTCACGCAGACTCACGGTCCTCACAACTCAGGCCCGTTTACCATCTGAGACTTAATGCAGAGGGGTAACGAGAACACTCCGTAACCAATTAAAAGTGCAGTCTTATTGTGTGCCCAGATCAGATAAAAATAAATAACTCAGGGTGAGTGGGACCACACACACAGCTGATCGCTGGCTCCGCTCTCCGTTCTCTCTCCGAGCAACACGAACATCACGAGTGGTGCCAGACACGGGGCCATGACACAAAGTGTCATGACTTTTGTTTACCATGGATGTAAGATCAATATTTCAGTAGGCTTATTTTCTAAAGCCTACCCCAAAGGCAGCATATAAAGTTTAACAACAAAACTGATCATACAAACAGTATGACAAAGTGTAAAGTCAAGGTTTGGCTCTTCAATTATCTTCGGCAGTGTTCAGCTGTGCTGGAATTTTCAAAGCCAAAAAGTGAACACTCCAAACTACTCCAAAGGGGACTCAGTCTAGATTGTATCTGCAATGATTCGCCCTCTGCAATTTGATGCATTATTTGTTATTTGTTCTGCCCAGTTTTCATAGTCTCATTTGCTCAATGTATCCATGGATACAATTTGCCTCCATAATAAATATATATATTCCCACACACAAGAAGTGATGCAGACTACCAAATCACATAGGCATATCACGTAGAATGTGGCTTACCTCATCAGATCTCAAAAGCTAAGACAGGGTTGACTCCGATTGGTTATTGGAAGTTTAGCCACCGAGCATAAAAAAAACGTTATAGGCTGCGAGGCTATGTTGTCAGCGGAAGGCAAAAAAACATTAATTGTTGTAATGTACGCCTTCGTCAACCGGCAGTGATCAGTGTGGCGTAGCATGATAAAGCAATCCCAACAATCCGCATGGCATGTGGAGGCCCTCATCCAGCAGTGGATTGACAAAAAAGGCTGTTCATGTACATCCAACTGACTGGATGCATGACATGCATCACGTGTGTCAAACTTTAATGGAATCGATCTGTCGTTGATATATCCTGACCCAGCGGTGCTCATTTCACGAACCACACAAAGGTGGCCATGCTACTGATCACGATATTGATCGGCATGATTTTTCTTGTTTACTTGCAACTTTTTACCTGGTGGCGCACCACGGATAAGGGGAGCAAAGTCAGTGACACAATGCATGGACAAAGAGAAAGGGATGAGAATGGGGAGAGAGATGAGAAACAATGAGGAAAAGGATGGGGAAAAAAATGGAAAAACGTGAGCTAAGGGGTCAGGAGAGAGGAGGATATAGAGCAAGAGGCTAAAGAAGGGCCTCAATATTCTTAGTTTTTTCGGTAAAGTCACGTTGAAGAGAAACAACAAAATAACAAAATATATATAAAACAATAAAAAATTCTCACGACGTTTCGACCATAACTCAAACGGTCATCATCAGGTGACCGTTTGAGTTATGGTCGAAACGTCATCATCAGGTGACCGTTTGAGTTATGGTCGAAACGTCGGTCATCATCAGGTGACCGTTTGAGTTATGGTCGAAACGTCGTGAGAATTTTTTATTGTTTTATATATATTTTGTTATTTTGTTGTTTCTCTTCAACGTGACTTTACCGAAAAAACTAAGAATATGAATTACTGCAGTCACGAAAGCTTTAAATCAAAATTTAAGGGCCTCAATGTTCAATGGCAGGGAGTGGGGCGCCACGGTGGCGAGATGTTAACTACCTCGCCTGGCGTACAGGAGGTCGTGGGTTCGATCGCAGCCCTGACCTCTGTATATTTCGAGTTTGCCTGTGCTCCCCGTGGTCACGTGGATGTTTCTCCGGGTCCACCAGTTGTTCTCTCCACATTTATTGACATGAATTTAGAGGATTCGGCTGCAACACATTTCCACATAAGCCACTTCATACTCTTGGGGTCTTATCCCGGAAAGTCACGTAGATAGAAAAATAATAAAATAAAATAAAATCACGACGTTTCGATCGCAACACAAGCAATCGTCTTCAGGTGAAACAATACAGCAGGCGGACTGCTGAGGCAGGAAGAAATGTAGCGAGAGAGCTGCTGCAGCCAAAGGTTATAAACGTTTGAGATGGGTACAACACAAGGGCAAGTGGGCAGGGCCAGAGATGGAATTTGCAAGTCAATGTAAGATCGCAGAGCTAGGAAAACCTCAGCTAATCGTGTCTGCATTAACCACAAAACCTGTGCTCAAAATGCAAACAAAAATTAAAAAAGCTTTAAGTCAAGATATGAGCCACTTCGTTGAGCTATCATTTGTGGCCAGGTCGCTTCTGAAAAAGAGCTACATAGCTCAGTGGGCCTTACCTGGCATAATAAACTAAAGCAAATATTCAGAGTGGGGGTGTGCACACAGAAGTCACGTGATATATGGAAGGCTTGAGCTGATTGAGATATATAGTCGGGTGGAGGCTATTGTGTGTGGGTGGCATGAGTGTGGGATGTGTGTGTGTGTTGAGTGTGTGTGCACGGGGTGCAAGTGGCTCATAATGGCAGGGTGTGAGATGTGTGTGTGTGTGGCATGCATAGGTGTAGAATGGATGTCGTGCGCGTGAGTGCAGTGGATAATGCACTGTCCCACGAACTCAGTGGCCTCAGTTCGATTCCAGTTCGCAGCCAACAATGGTGATGAATGTGCTTGGAAACAGCACTTGCTCCAACAGTCTATTAAAGGCTATACTGGGACATTTTTGTCTTTGCGCAATCGATTTGTACCCACAGTCACGCGACGGGGTGTGGCGTGTGTGTGAGAGAGAGCGGCTCATTCCGGCAGGCCAATGGAGGGGTGTGGGATGTGTGTGTGAGCGGTGAGCGCGCTGCGCTACGAATCTGGCCACCCGGGTTCAATGCCCGCTCATGGCCAACACCGGTGACGATTATCTGAATCGGTCTTAGGCCTCCCCCAGGTTGACTCAGCCTCAAATGAGTACCTGGCACGATGTGTAAACATCGCCACAAGGGAGACAAAGGCGGATGGGTGTGGTGCTGGCCACCCACCCCCTCATGTGCCGTGCCGACCTTCATAGGTGCTCGCTAACAGCACTTGCCCCAGCAGTCTGTTAAGGCTATACAGGGGAACTTTGTCCTTGTTTGCGTGTGGAGGTCCAGCGTGTGTGTGAGAGGGCGGCTCATACTGGAAGACCCATGGCTGGGTGCGAGGTGTGTGTGTGTGTGAGCATGTGTGTGAGAGGGCAGCTCATACCGGCAGACCCATGGCTGGGTGCGAGGTGTGTGTGTGAGCATGTGTGTGTGAGGGCAGCGATAGTGTAGCGGTTAGCGCGCTGCGCTATGAACCTGGCGACCCGGGTTCGATTCCCGCTCACGGCCAACACCAGTGACGATTATCTGAACCGGTCCCGGGCCTCCCCTAGGTCGACTCAGCCTCAAATGATTACCTGGTGCGGTGTGTAAACATCGCCACTAGGGAGACAAAGGCGGTCGGGCGTGGTGCTGGCCACCCACCCCCTCGTGTACCGTTCCGACCTTCATAGGTGCTCGCTAACAGCACTTGCCCCTACAGCCTGTTAAGGCTATATGGGGGATCTTTGTCTTTGTTGTGAGGGCAGCTCATACCGGCAGACCCATGGCTGGGTGCGAGGTGTGTGTGTGTGTGAGCGTGTGTGTGAGAAAGCGGCTCGTACCGGCAGGCCCGTGGCGGGGTGCGGATAAATCAGGGGGTGGGTCACCCGGTTTCGCCGGTCGCTCACCATCCAGAGCCTCTCCCAGCGCGCGCGTTTCTCAGGCTCCAGCCGCTCGATCAGATCAGTCAGCGGGGCAAACACTGCGCGGGGATTAGCGACGCACCGTCACACACGTCGACGCACCGCCACGCACCGCCAAGCACCGCCCGGGCAAAAATTAACCGGGGGTCACGGCCCGGTCCGCCCGCGGGAGTTCAGAAGTTGTACGCGCCGGGGAGCAGCCGGTCGAGATTCGCGTCGCGCTGGCGGCATGGAGGCACCGCTCTGTGTTAATGCAGCACAGCTCAATTAAACTACAATCCTTGATACATACGCAACCAGCATTTCTTACTATATACGCAGCAGCATTTCTGGGCGGGTGCGAGCCTGCAATGTAGTGCCTCGCTCGAAGGCCACATGCAGATTTGTAAACTCCCAGAACAACTAGGTTCCAAGGCCGGCAGGAAATTAACTACAGCTCAACAAAAATGGTTTTATTTGATCAGGCCCACTGAGCTACAGAAGCAACCTAACCACAAATGTTCGCTCAACTTAGTGTCTTATTACGTGGAAATTTATAGCAGACAAATACTCTAAACGCATGTTTTTTAAATGTGGAGGGAAAATCAGAGAACCCGGAGAAAAATCTATGCGACCACGAGGAAAGAGACGTGGAAACTCCGAATATACAGCAGGCATCAGGGTCAGGATAGAACCCACGACCTCCTGTATACCGGGCGAGTTAGAGAACATCTCACCACCATGGTGCCCAAACGGATTCACGAACCCATCTGTGTGGACCATCGAGTGTTATTACCTCGTATGTGTGATAGGCTTTCTTGGGGTTAATCCTGTTTTCTATCTCACGTGCAAAATGATTTGTTTGAAACGAATTTGTGAAACACTGCAATGAATGCCTTCCCGAAAGGGTCTCGAGACTCGGTGAAACTTTCTGGGTAAATAGGTCAAAAAGTTACGATGTTCACTACTTGCACGCTTCTGGGTGAAAACAAATGTAGGCATAGCACCATTACGGGAAGACCCCAATAGCAGACTGCAATTCCAGTCATGACTGATGCGAAGGGCCATCACGAAAAACGGTTATAGCAATACGCACGTCACGGGGCAACGCTCGCGAGGAAGGTGGAGAGCGTTGGTTGAACTATGAGCGCCTACGTGCACGGCAGCCTCGCCACAATCGCTGGCCGAAATAAAAAAGTGAAAAGCATGGTCAATTTAAAATCGAGCCGATGAAGATTCACGCAGATGGGGTGGAATGAGCATTAATGAGACGTGACAGCGGACGAAAGTTGAGATGGAGAGAGCGCAGTGAAAGCAAAATAAATTGAAAGCAACATTTTTTGTGACAGGCTGTCTAATTCTTGCAACAGGGTGGAATTTGTTTTATTTATAATTACTCACGAGACTAAAAGCGCCCTTCGTCGCGAAACTTGGAGAAAGTAATTCCTCCTCGATTTAAATACAAAGTCGCTCATTAATTTTACATTTCAGCGTACATGTCGGAGGTAAGATTAAAAACCTAATAGATCGTGAGGGCTAAAATTATGAAGAAAAAAATAATAGTACATTTTAAGATAAAACCATATAACACCCCACGTTTGGCTGCTAGGGGTGTGGAGTTGCCATCTCAAGCCGATTCAAGACAACATCGCCTCCTTCTGTCTCCGATTAGTACTGCGGCTTGGAATTACATTCCAAATGTTTTCTTCATCACCTGATTATCGTGTGCTGCCACCAGTACCGTCCTGTGTTTATCCAGTATCGGGCACGTGCCGACGGTGATATGGGCCGGTCTGTAGCCCTGGAAAGATCCAACACAGTGCACAGCTCCTGGAGAAGCCGATAAGACCGAGAGATGTCCCACGGTCTGCGTCTCACTCACAGTCACGTCTGACTGTGTCGCTCAAGTAGCCCCAATTCCTCCACATGTTGACTTATGACACTGCCGGCTCCCAATTTTAAGCGACTGTGTGAGTGAATGGTGAACGTGTGAGTAAATGGGTGTGTGAATGAGTGGGTGAGTGGGGAGTGGTAGTACAGTGGTTAGCATGCTGCGCAACGAACCCGGAAATCCGGGTTCGATTCCTGCTCACGGTCAACACCAGTGAAGATTATCTGAACTGGTACTGGGTCTCCCCTAGGTTGACTCAGCCTCAAATGAGAACCTGGTATGGCGTGTAAACATCGCCACTAGGGAGATAAAGGCGGCCAGACGTGGTACTGGCCACCCACCCCCTCGTGTGCCATGCCGGCCTTAATAGCTGTTCGCTAACAGCCCAAAGAGTCTGTGAAGGGTATACGGGGGATCTTTGAGTGGGAATGAGTGGGTGAGGAGTGAGCAGGTGAGCGGATGTGTGAGTAAATGGGTGTATTAATGAGTGGGTTAGTGGGTTAGTGGATGAGTGATTATTTAGATTATTTGGCTGCTATACATTTCCAAGTGATAAGCCACTTTGTTGAGCTATCACGTGGCCAGGTCGCTTCTAAAAATAAGCTCATAGGTCAGTGGGCTTTACCTGGTAAAATAAACAATTGTTTAGTTTGATTTTTACTTTAAAAATGTTTTGCGATTCGTTTACTTTTCCTATACTTTGCACTTCTATCGTGTTTTTGTAATTGTTGTTGTAACTTTCTGACCCGCCCCAACTGGACATCTGTGGAAAAAGAGCTTTATAGCTCATCGGATTCCTCCAGTATAAATATTCTGATTCTGTGTGGGTCTGTGAGTGTAAAAATGAGTGTGTATGTGTGGTAATAAATGTGCGAGTTGATGAGTGAGTGGGTGAGTTGTTAGGGTAGCCCCATTTCTGCATGTCGGCTTTTGAGCCGCTGCCTCCCATTTAAAGGTGAAGAACATAATATCTCCATGCACTGCTTTGGTGAATATGGAATTAATTCAGTTGTTTTTTGCCTTGAGCCACGTAATGATCCGGCAAATTAAACTGTCACGCATAGCAGCGATTTACGCGCAAATTATTGTGTCAGTTCAATGGTAAGGTTGAAGAACAAATCTAACAAAAACTTTCGCCATTAGATACTAATTTGGGTTCTGAGAATTGTGAGCATTATTCCTCGACTTACCGGCAAGCTGAGGCTATAATAATTGGTGCTTTAAACGCTTGTACACGTGACAATTTAATTTGTTTTGTGATGTCAAGTGGAGGGTCTTAACGACACAAATTTGGGAAGATCATTACGTGGCCTAACCCAACGATCAATACGAATCCATACTGAGAACCTCTACAAGCTGGGCGGGACTTCGGAGTTATTTGACCGTACCTGACCATAATGGTCAGTGTGGGTTGGTGAAGGCTGCGGCGCATGTGGCAGCCAAAAAGAACAGTGCAACAATGTATTTAGCTGCACTGCTCTTTGCTACGTTATCCTGCGGCCCAACAGCCTATAACAAACCTTCTGTGCATGGTGGCTACCCATCCAAGCGCTATCAAAATATTTATGTATACTGGAGGAATCTGATGAGCTATAAGACTATTTTTCACAGATGTCCAATAGTGCAGACTCGAGTCTGCTCAACACACGGAATCTTACATTTAACATAGGGCGGCCCATAAGTCAGGAAACACAGGGTTATTTAATTTATTTTACCACTGGCATTAAAACATTTTTATTGTTTATTCTTAAAGTTAATATTTGATCTATTATCCGTCGTTCACAAGACTCAACCAAAAAACCCTGAATTAATTGAGACCAAAAAAATGTATTCACGTTCAAATATTACACCTGTGATCTTAAAATCCTAAAATGTATTTCAAAAGAAAATTCACGGATGCATTCATGTTAATGTAAGTCAGTTTGAACAGTTGTCAAAAGAAATAAAATAACCCTACGTGATTTGTTAAAAGCATCCATCCGATATTAGAAAGGCGCTGGAGCTATGCACTTTTAAATCTAGATTGAAAACTAATTTCTTTCCAAAATATGTTTGTATTAAGTTTGTTGTCTTTCCCTCGCACATCCATTTAGCATGGTTGACTACATACGGTGCGAAAGCAGTTCTACATACGTACATAAAATAAACATAATAACCCTATGTGTCCTGATTTTTGAGCCACCCTGTCCAATATACCTATCTGGCCTCTTGATGCATGTGCTGTGAAAGAGTGCCATTGTCCAACACATCGCCTCGTACGTACTTGTCATTTGTAAGGCAGTGTTACTGACGAGTGCAGTTAGTTTTTAAAAACCCTTATGATATCCCTCCTGGGCCTTAAACCCCAAGGTATCACCAGGCACCAACACACCCTTCTCCAATTATTCAACATTACGGTTAGAAAGACCGTCCTGAGCTCCTGGAAGAATCATGGGGCCCCATCACTCACCCTCTGGCATAATTCCCTATTCGCCCTAGCAGCTTTAGAACACCTGAGTCTGAAACTTATGAATAGGGAAGGGGAGTTCACCCAGATATGGGGCCCACCTTGTGAATGCAACTCCAGAGACCCCGAGTTTACTTGATTGAACTTCCACCCCCCCGCTTTCCCCCTTCCTTCCTCGCAGAGAAGGGATCTGACGGACCACGTACCACATCACGCTACGGTCCTACACGTCCACGTTGGTTGTCTGTCCGAGCCGCCTATCCCGCTATGCACCGCTCACCTGTCGCGGAAGTTGTGCAACTCCCCCCCCCCCCCCCCCCCATAGTTGGCTCAATAAAAATAATATACAATAAAAACCCTCACGAGCATATATCTCAGCACCCTTGTGATGGCTTGCCATGCATGGGCGCGATAAAAAATCGTTGTTTTATTATCAAGTATACAATTGTACAACGATACAGGCACACATATACACGTGTGCATCTGGTTCACACGATTAGTTGGTCCATGGGGAGGTGAAGGTTGGGCTGAGCATCACGGTCCGCAGATTATTTTCTTCACTTTCAGTCATGGCGCATCTGACATGGAGCAGGCGGAACGTTCACTGGGAGGCATCAAGATCTCACATCAACTCCATTGACTGCCACGGGTAGGAGATTCTCCTGGGAGGGCCGGGTCATCCAGATCCTATACCTCGTGAAAGAGATAATCAATCACAAACCAGCTCTCGCTTGCCTACGTAGGTGACGAGGTGTGTGGGAAGTAATTTGATTTTGTGGGTGTCGGTGGGGGGCTAACAACCGTGAGGAACCTACATTGAGTGGCCAAGGGAGCCCATGAAATTATATGGAGGGAACACAGCATAAGGCTGGCTCCCAATGCACAAAAAGCTGCTCCAATTATGCCACACATATTCTTACAGTCATGCGGTTATTATCATTATAAATCATCATCAATCATGACCATCAGCATCAGTCAGGCTCTATGCACCGCTTGATGAAGGCCTTCCCAATCCATGATCATCTCTCATGGTCTTTTGATGCAACAATGCCATTCGCTTTTTGCGTTTGTTTTTTTGTGTTTAGGTTTTTGTCCTTTTCAACATACACTCTTTGTGATTTAATTTGCTCTATCTCCGCGGTGGACATCCTCTTGGGGGTATTCTCCCTCTTTTGTTGGCACTGTCACCAGTGTCGTCCACCGCTCATCACCCGCTTCGAGCCACGTGGCCTGCCCAAGCTTGCTTGCCTTTTTTCTAAGTCACTATGATCATATTCTTAGCTCTTTCGGTAAAGTCACGCTGAAGGGAAACAATAAAATATATATATAAAACAATAAAAATTCTCAAGACGTTTCGACCATAACACAAACGGTCGTCATCACCTGATGACCTGATGACGACCATTCATCACCTGATGACGACCGTTTGTGTTATGGTCGAAACGTCGTGAGAATTTTTATTGTTTTATATGTATTTTATTATTTTATTGTTTCCCTTCAACGTGACTTTACCGAAAGAGCTATGAATATGAATTACTGCAGTCACGAAAGCTTTAAATCAAAATTTCACTATGATCAGTTTAACACGTAGGCTTTCGCGACCAATCTCATCGGCAATAAAGGTTTTTTTTGGGTTCGATCACGTGAAGATAAATGTGTCATTAACCCACCACCACCCGACACAGCCAATTAGTAAGTTTTGTCACGTAAACAAAACGTGATAATTACAGTGAGGGAAAAAAGTATTTGATCCCCTGCTGATTTTGTACGTTTGCCCACTGACAAAGAAATGATCAGTCTATAATTTTAATGGTAGGTTTATTTGAACAGCAAGAGACAGAATAACAACAAAATCCAGAAAAACGCTTGTCAAAAATGTTATATATTGATTTGCATTTTAATTAGGGAAGTAAGTATTTGACCCCTCTGCAAAACATGACTTAGTACTTGGTGGCAAAACCCTTGTTGGCAATCACAGAGGTCAGACGTTTCTTGTAGTTGGCTACCAGGTTTGCACACATCTCAGGAGGGATTTTGTCCCACTCCTCTTTGCAGATCTTCTCCAAGTCATTAAGGTTTTGAGGCTGACGTTTGGCAACTAGAACCTTCAGCTCCCTCCACAGATTTTCTATGGGATTAAGGTCTGGAGACTGGCTAGGCCACTCCAGGACCTTAATGTGCTTCTTCTTGAGCCACTCCTTTGTTGCCTTGGCCGTGTGTTTTGGGTCATTGTCATGCTGGAATACCCATCCACGACCCATTTTCAATGCCCTGGCTGAGGAAAGGAGGTTCTCACCCACGATTTGACGGTACATGGCCCCGTCCATCGTCCCTTTGATGCGGTGAAGTTGTCCTGTCCCCTTAGCAGAAAACACCCCCAAAGTATAATGTTTCCACCTCCATGTTTGACGGTGGGGATGGTGTTCTTGGGGTCATAGGCAGTATTCCTCCTCCTCCAAATACGGCGAGTTGAGTTGATGCCAAAGAGCTCCAATTTGGTCTCATCTGACCACAACACTTTCACCCAGTTGTCCTCTGAATCATTCAGATGTTCATTGGCAAACTTCAGACGGTCATGTATATGTGGTTTCTTGAGCAGGGGGACCTTGCGGGCGCTGCAGGATTTCAGTCCTTCACGGCGTAGTGTGTTACCAATTGTTTTCTTGGTGACTATGGTCCCAGCTGCCTTGAGATCATTGACAATATCCTCCCGTGTAGTTATAGGCTGATTCCTCACCGTTCTCATGATCATTGCAACTCCACGAGGTGAGATCTTGCATGGAGCCCCAGGCTGAGGGAGATTGACAGTTCTTTTGTGTTTCTTCCATTTGCGAATAATCGTACCAACTGTTGTCACCTTCTCACCAAGCTGCTTGGCAATGGTCTTGTAGCCTATTCCAGCCTTGTGTAGGTCTACAATCGTGTCCCTGACATCCTTGGAGAGCTCTTTGGTCTTGGCCATGGTGGAGAGTTTGGAATCTGATTGATTGCTTCTGTGGACAGGTGTCTTTTATACAGGTAACAAGCTGAGATTAGGAGCACTCCCTTTAAGAGTGTGCTCCTAATCTCAGTTTGTTACCTGTATAAAAGACACCTGGGAGCCAGACATCTTTCTGATTGAGAGGGGGTCAAATACTTATTTCCCTCATTAAAATGCAAATCAATTTATAACATTTTTGACATGCGTTTTTCTGGATTTTTCTTGTTGTTATTCTGTCTCTCACTGTTCAAACAAACCTACTATTAAAATTATAGACTGATAATTTCTTTGTCAATGGGCAAACTTTCAAAATCAGCAGGGGATCAAATACTTTCTTCCCTCACTGTATATATATTCTTGGTTCTTTCGGTAAAGTCACGTAGAAGGGAAACCAATAATATGAATCCCTGCAGTCATGAAAGCTTTAAATCAAAATTCAAGTGTGGTGTGTTAATGATGTCAGCCCTGTCACTGATGACTGCACGAAAAACCCATCACGTTAAATTCGTTTTTGTTAAAATAATTTGGCTAAATTCTGGACTTAAAAATGTTCGGTCTGATTGACATTCAATGAACATTCTCTACCAGGCATATCACAAGTGTGACCCAAGTGTGTTTAAAGAGGACGAATGAAGTGAGTTCAGAAGTAGCCATTTGATGTCAGGTTTTTATTTCGACAAGGGGAATATTGACGTGAAACTTAATTACGGATCTCCATGGTGACCATTCATGATCCTTTTAACGCTGGTTTTTTATCACAAATTTTTGAGCAATCATTTTGTAGGGGATCTGCGAGCCATCCTCACGCATTCGCACCACGCAGACATGAAATCTCTGCACTCAGCATAGCACACACCAATCACACGCACGGGAATACACTAGACGGGGGTCAAGGGTTAAAGGGCACTGACAGCACACGTGCGAGACGGAGATGTGGATTGGGAACGAGGGCGGAGATGGAGGCTTTAAAAGGGGCTGTTAAACGCGTGTTCGAGGTTGGTTTGAGGAACGAGTGTGGCTGTGGTTTGAAGAATAAAGAATTGCATAACCAGTCTCCGACTTCTCTTCAATTTGATCAATTTGGCTAGTTTCTCTTAGGTAAGTGATTAGTGCCCATTTGTGATGGACTGGACTCACAAGAGTGCTCGATAAGAAGTGCTCAGACTTGCTTACTTATGCAAACATTTTATTCATCTATGAACATCTTTACAAGAGCTATCACCTCCCCCCCGCCCCACATCTACAAATGAGACAGACAAAAAAAACAGACGGACAACTAACGCATCCACGCTTTTAACATGCTTTTAACCGCAGTTCGAAAGGGCTAAAATAAACGAAAGTGGCACTGCCGACCGAGCTTCGTCCACCTCACCTGTGGCCCCACGCTTGGGCACCCGCACAATGTGGTAGATGGAGTAGGCGAAGGGTGCGTGCATGAAGCTGCCGTCAATGTGCCAGCCCGTGCGTCCCACGCCCGTGCAGCCTTCAGCGGGGTCGTTGGAGACCCGGAAGACGTCCGGGTGCGGCGACTTAGGGTGATTGTAGAAGGTGGACTCCGGCTCGCCGAACCAGCGGGTGATGTCCACCTGCTTCTGTCCAGAGATGATGCCCTGGTCCTATGTTTCAACGGCAAAACAGCAAATAGCGCAGGGGGTAAATGTGAACGTGGTAAGAACCAAGAGTTGAGCCTCACTGAGCCTTAAGAGCCTCACTGAGCCTTAAGGGCCTCACTGAGCCTTAAGGGCCTCACTGAGCCTTAAGGGCCTCACTGAGTCTTAAGAGCCTCACTGAGCCTTAAGAGCCTCACTGAGCCTTAAGGGCCTCACTGAGTCTTAAGGGCCTAACTGAGCCTTAAGGGCCTCACTGAGTCTTAAGAGCCTCACTGAGCCTTAAGAGCCTCACTGAGTCTTAAGAGCCTCACTGAGTCTTAAGGGCCTCTCTGAGCCTTAAGGGCCTCACTGAGCCTTAAGAGCCTCACTGAGTCTTAAGGGCCTCACTGAGCCTTAAGAGCCTCACTGAGTCTTAAGGGCCTCACTGAGTCTTAAGGGCCTCACTGAGCCTTAAGGGCCTCACTGAGTCTTAAGAGCCTCACTGAGCCTTAAGAGCCTCACTGAGTCTTAAGGGCCTCACTGAGTCTTAAGAGGCCTCACTGAGCCTTAAGAGCCTCACTGAGCCTTAAGGAGCCTCACTGAGTCTTAAGAGCCTCACTGAGTCTTAAGGGCCTCACTGAGTCTTAAGGGCCTCACTGAGTCTTAAGAGCCTCACTGAGCCTTAAAAGCCTCACTAAGCTTTAAGGGCCTCACTGAGCCTTAAGGGCCTCACTGAGCCTTAAGAGCCTCACTGAGCCTTAAGAGCCTCACTGAGTCTTAAGGGCCTCACTGAGTCTTAAGGGCCTCACTGAGTCTTAAGAGCCTCACTGAGTCTTAAGAGCCTCACTGAGTCTTAAGGGCCTCACTGAGCCTTAAGGGCCTCACTGAGTCTTAAGAGCCTCACTGAGCCTTAAGGGCCTCACTGAGTCTTAAGAGCCTCACTGAGCCTTAAGGGCCTCACTGAGTCTTAAGGGCCTCACTGAGCCTTAAGAGCCTCACTGAGTCTTAAGGGCCTCACTGAGCCTTAAGGGCCTCACTGAGTCTTAAGGGCCTCACTGAGCCTTAAGGGCCTCACTGAGCCTTAAGGGCCTCACTGAGTCTTAAGGGCCTCACTGAGCCTTAAGGGCCTCACTGAGTCTTAAGAGCCTCACTGAGTCTTAAGAGCCTCACTGAGCCTTAAGAGCCTCACTGAGTCTTAAGAGCCTCACTGAGTCTTAAGGGCCTCACTGAGTCTTAAGGGCCTCACTGAGTCTTAAGAGCCTCACTGAGTCTTAAGGGCCTCACTGAGCCTTAAGAGCCTCACTGAGTCTTAAGAGCCTCACTGAGTCTTAAGAGCCTCACTGAGTCTTAAGGGCCTCACTGAGTCTTAAGGGCCTCACTGAGCCTTAAGGGCCTCACTGAGTCTTAAGAGCCTCACTGAGCCTTAAGAGCCTCACTGAGTCTTAAGAGCCTCACTGAGTCTTAAGGGCCTCACTGAGCCTTAAGGGCCTCACTGAGCCTTAAGAGCCTCACTGAGTCTTAAGAGCCTCACTGAGTCTTAAGAGCCTCACTGAGTCTTAAGGGCCTCACTGAGTCTTAAGGGCCTCACTGAGTCTTAAGAGCCTCACTGAGCCTTAAGAGCCTCACTGAGCCTTAAGAGCCTCACTGAGCCTTAAGGGCCTCACTGAGTCTTAAGAGCCTCACTGAGCCTTAAGAGCCTCACTGAGTCTTAAGAGCCTCACTGAGTCTTAAGGGCCTCACTGAGCCTTAAGGGCCTCACTGAGCCTTAAGAGCCTTACTGAGTCTTAAGAGCCTCACTGAGTCTTAAGGGCCTCACTGAGTCTTAAGGGCCTCACTGAGTCTTAAGAGCCTCACTGAGCCTTAAGAGCCTCACTGAGCCTTAAGAGCCTCACTGAGCCTTAAGAGCCTCACTGAGTCTTAAGAGCCTCACTGAGTCTTAAGAGCCTCACTGAGTCTTAAGAGCCTCACTGAGTCTTAAGAGCCTCACTGAGCCGTAAGAGCCTCACTGAGCCTTAAGAGCCTCAAGAGCCTCACTGAGCTTTAAGAGCCTCACTGAGCCTTAAGAGCCTCACTGAGTCTTAAGAGCCTCACTGAGTCTTAAGAGCCTCACTGAGCCTTAAGAGCCTCAAGAGCCTCACTGAGCCTTAAGAGCCTCACTGAGCCTTAAGAGCCTACTAAGTCTTAAGAGCCTCACTGAGCCTTAAGAGCCTCAAGAGCCTCACTGAGCCTTAAGAGCCTCACTGAGTCCTTAAGAGTCTTAAAAGCCTCACTGAGTCTTAAGAGCCTCACTGAGCCTTAAGAGCCTCACTGAGCCTTAAGAGCCTCGCTGAGTCTTAAGAGTCTTAAGACTCAGTTAGGCTGCATTGGACTGTTTGGCCAATTCAGTTTTAAGGATTGTTTTGCTTAGTGTAGTAGGAGGAAACGAGAGTGCCCTGATAAAACCCACGAACGCGATGGAAAAACACTCAAACGCGGCTTTGTAAACCAATCTAATGCACTGCCACTTCTTAGCCACACCAAAATCTTGTGAGTCTGGGAATTTCACACATTTACATGATCCACCAACCTCTGCCTCAAAGTAACTGGATTACAGGCAAACGCCAACATCTCCGGTTAAGAACGGTAAATGCATCAGCCGCTGAAGATGTGTTAAAAATACCAAACGCATTACCTCATGATAATCAATTACATACATTACTTACAATCATGTGCTTTTGAAAAACTTTTTTCCCCCTCCCAATTGTCTTGTAAATGTCACATCAGCATAAAGACATGAGGGAAAAAAATATATATTGAACATTTTCAGCAAGTGGTCTATCACTTGCATCAGGAAGGTGACGAAACAGAATTAACCTCTTATTCCCCTTCGATAGGACTTCATATGTGGGGGCATTAATAGACCTGCCAAAACTGTTCCATTACACAGCATTCAAGCAAACATATTTTACTTATCAATGTTGCAAAATGCAGAATTAAATTATTCACAAAATGTAATTATGTTTCTTTTGTGGAGTCAACGCAGTCCGAGCCAAGACAATCAACCCATGCAATTATAACAGTTTCATCATAATTGGTTAGTTTGGACTCATGTTCTCAGCAGTTTCTGGTTCAGTGCTGACACTACATTAACCCCCCCCACCCCAAGCTATCCTGCCACACTTTAAGTTGAACTTTCTAATAGTTTTTTCTCCTTCTCTTTGAATGCTCACAAACTGCTCAAAGTTATGGCGAGACCAAGTCGACATCAGGTTATCTTGTTACAAAGTACAAAGTTGCAGGCTGGTTTAATTGACGCATTCGAATGCATTGGCAATGCCTTCATCAGAACTCCCTTCAACAGATGGAATATTAAATATAAGCAGCTCGCTCCTCAGGAGAACTGGCTTGGGTGAAAGCCCAGGACTGGTGCATAATACATCTATTTGCAAGTATGCATCCCAACCGCCAATTAGCCCCCTGCACACTTCACATAAACTGCAAGTCTCACAACGGCGTTTTAAGCAAAATCTTTGTTTTACTTAACCATAATATTTTAGAAGGGGTGCCGAGCATTATGCCGGTAGGGGCTCAGCCCCCTCTCTAGCCCCACCAACACCACAGGGCTGGAGCAACCAATACCTTAAAGATGAGCAGCTCACCTTAAAGATGAGCAGCTCACCTTAAAGATGAGCAGCTCACCTTAAAGATGAGCAGCTCACCTTAAAATGAGCAGCTCACCATTAAAGATGAGCAGCTCACCATAAAGATGAGCAGCTCACATTAAAGATGAGCAGCTCACCTTAAAGATGAGCAGCTCACCTTAAAGATGAGCAGCTCACCATGAAGATGAGCAGCTTCACCTTAAAAACGAGCAGCTCACCTTAAAGATGAGCAGCTCACCTTAAAGATGAGCAGCTCACCTTAAAGATGAGCAGCTCACCTTAAAGATGAGCAGCTCACCTTAAAGATGAGCAGCTCACCTTAAAGATGAGCAGCTCACCATGAAGATGAGCAGCGCACCTTAAAGATGAGCAGGCGATGTTTGGTGACGTCGCTCTTAATCTGCTCCACCACATGACGGGGCACGTCGCCCTGCGCCAAATGTATGCCGCGCACGACCATGCCAAGCTTGTGTGGCACCAAGGTGTAGCCGGAAGACACGCATCCTGCCATCACGGCCGCGTGCTGCAACACTCGAAGTTGCCCCCCTTGGCAGCCGCTGTCTTTTCTTTTTGCTTGCCGCCTTGTTTCTGCCAGTTGTTCGACGGTTTCCTACAAAACAGCAGTCACACCCGTAGATCAGAGGAGTGTTGGTCAGATGTCGTGCGTCTTGTTGAGCGACTGTGCAAACTCGACCCTAATTAGGTTCTTTGTTTTAATGTGTCAAGTTTGAAAATTAAATTATGCAACATCTGTACCTTTACTTGTTCCGTGTCACGGGACAAAAAGGCCCAGCCACCTTTTGTACTACCCCATATTGAGCGGTAAGCATTCTCTGTTATAAAATGTGCTGCAGTAATTTTCTAAATTGGCTAAATAGGCCGCATTTGATCACACTAACAGGCAATTATGCTGTGGTTTTTTAAAAAAACATTTCTTTATATTCTGAAATGTTCCCACACCCAAATGTTCCCGATTTTAACGGGACTCATGACCACTCAGCCGTGGTTGTGCAATAATTATTACCTTTATAAAGGGCCATGTTAATTAGCTTAACCACTTGTGCAGGCCACATACTGACTTTTCAATCAGCAATTATGCCTTTCCAGCACGATCTGCAATATATTATTCCAGGCAGCTCTTTTAATTTGTCCTGAGCCATGTAGCTGCATTGATAAGTCTTCTTAAAAATAGAATTGCAGAAATGTGTTTAATTGGCTGCAGATATCCGGTCTATACATGGATTATCCAATTAATACCGCCATCACCTCGTCCCTGCAAAACGTTCCTCAACCCTGACACCTAGAGACAACTAACCTGGGGTTCTCGCCATGAGCGTATGAGCTCACAGATGAGGCTGTGAAGGTTACTTAAAAGGCAGGCAAGTGTGCAGACCTTTTGCACTGGGGGGTTATATTAGGGGCAGCTGGATGGGTGGATAAGAGAGGATGGTTGGGCAAATGCCTGGCTAGCGAGTTGGATATGGGCATGTTTGGCAATAAATGTTGACTGGGTGCCTGAATAGATGGTAAGATAATTGGATAAGGTGGAGGATGTCTGATTGGGCAGATGGCTTCTTGAGTAATTGGCTGAGAATGTGAATGTAATGAGGTTTGTCAAAAAAAAAAACGGAGTGGCTGGTTGTTTAAGGCAAGTGATAGCAGGTTGTGGGCTGGTTGGGTAAATGTTTGAATGAATAAATGTCTGCCTCTTTGAATAGAAGTTTGATATAAATGTTAGCCGCGTGGCTGGACGGGCAAATGGCTTGTTTGTTGGAAGATTGTCTGAAATGTTGGTATGGTGGCTTTGCGAAATAGAGAGAGAGAGAGTGAGAAAGCACGGACGGAAGGGTACGAATGTGTTCGCGTGGGTGGCAAGGCTGGGTTGGCTGGCGTGATGCGTGGGTGGGTAGTTGGCTGGCTCGTAGGGAATTTGAGGCCAAGAGAGATGCGAGGTCACCCGAGGATAAATGGCCAAGTCTCGAACGCCCGCACACACCCCGGGGGCGAACACTTCCACGCGTCGCACTGCTGAGCCTCAACGAAACAAGGAAAGTGGACAATGTCGTCAGCCACTGCAAGCAGGGAGCTTCACGAGGTCTCAAGCAACAGGAGCCGACAAAGATTCCCCTGTGTAGCCTGTGAGACTGTAGGGGGCAAGTGCTGTAAGCGAGCACCTATGAAGGCCGGAACAGTACACGAGGGGGTGGGTGGCCAGCACCACACCCGGCCGCCTTTGTCTCCCCAGTGGCGATGTTTACTACACACCGCACCGAGTACTAATTTGAGGCTGAGTCGACCTAGGGGAGGCCCAGGACCAGTTCAGATAATCGTCACTGTGGTGTTGGCCGTGAACGGGATTCGAACCCGGGTGGCCAGGTTCGTAGCGCAGCGTAGCGCTAACCGCTGCACCACCGCTCCCCACCACGTAACAATCATTAAAACTAAAACTGTGCCGTAGCTACAGACCTCATCTGCCAAATAGAACGTTGTTAAAAACAAACAGAACACGGAACAATTAATAACAAATGCTCCTCCTATCCGCATTCCTTATCATTAGGATCAATTGACGCTGGGCCTCACAGAATGCGGGGTTATCGCGAATAGAAGCCGCTGTATACTTCGCCCAGTCTGACACAAGGTTGCAAAAGGAAACTTATATTATTGGTTCTTTCGGTAAAGTCACGTTGAAGGGAAACAATACAATAATAAAATATATATAAAACAATAAAATTCTCACGACGTTTCGACTGCAACACAGTCATCATCAGGTTTCCCTTCAACGTGACTTTACCGAAAGAACCAAGAATATGAATCACTGCAGTCACGAAAGCTTTAAATCAAAATTAAACTTCTTCACCACAGCACCCGACGGCGATTATGTATACACAAACATACTCTACGTGTCATCTTAAACACTGCGCAGAGACGACGTTCACCAGGTACTGGACGTCTTTGGTGGGGATTTGGTAAAGATTTACAGCTCATCGCATTCCTCCACTATAAATACATATTCCCGATTCTGATGTACAGTGCACACAGCCACAATGTACTGTACCGCGTACAGCAGTTTCACGCACTGTACTGCGGTGTGTGAACTGTACAGTGGACATACCGCATACAGTGCGCGCACTGTACGCTGTGTGTACACTGTACAGTGCGCGTCGTGCACTGTACAGTGGCTGCACCCGCTTGACAGTGACAATGGGAGCAGCAGCGGACAGTGTCGCAAGCAGAGACACCAGCAGAGAGAGGGGGCAGCAAGTAGAGACACCAGCAGCACAGAGACACCAGCAGAGACACCAGCAGCAGAGAGAGGGCAGCAGAGACACCAGCAGCACAGAGACACCAGCACAGAGACACCAGCAGAGAGACACCAGCAGAGAGAGAGAGGGCAGCAAGTAGAGACACCAGCAGCACAGAGACACCAGCACAAAGACACCAGCAGAGAGACGGCAGCAAGTAGAGACACCAGCAGCACAGAGACACCAGTAGAAACACCAGCAGCAGCAGCAGCAGAGAGAGGGCAGCAAGTAGAGACACTAGCAGCACAGAGACACCAGCACAGAGACACCAGCAGAGAGAGGGCAGCAAGTAGAGACACCAGCAGCACAGAGACACCAGCAGCACAGAGACACCAGCACAGAGACACCAGCAGAGAGAGAGAGGGCAGCAAGTAGAGACACCAGCAGCACAGAGACACCAGCACAGAGACACCAGCACATAGACACCAGCAGAGAGAGAGGGCAGCAAGTAGAGACACCACCAGCAGCACAGAGACACCAGCACAGAGACACCAGCACAGAGACACCAGCACAGAGACACCAGCAGAGAGAGAGGGCAGCAAGTAGAGACAGCAGCAGCTATAAACAGCAGTGGGCATCAGCAAGAGCTTGCAGAGCCGCAGCAGCAAGTACTGTACTGCAACAGCAGTACAGTAGTGAGTACTATTATACAGCTAGCGCCTTGGGTGAAGGGGATCGATATACAAATGTAAGATAAGAAAGACATCGCCGTGATACGCGATCACACACAGCCTGTGTTGAAACCACACCAGTCAATGCTGAACTTGAATCTCCAATATGGATGGTGGTACGTGCTGAAGACAACGATGTCTCCGACAGCGGCAGCTGTGTAATTCGTGAATATTCGAGCGCACAAGACTCACTGGTGACCTCTGCTGGGCGGGCTATGGAAGGCCACGATGTCACGTTAAAGGTATTTTACTGGTAGGAACCTCCTGGTTACACCAACAGCCCACAGGGGATTATTGTGTCCGTGCGTCCGTCCGTCGTGCATCCAAAAATGGGAGGGGTGGGGCTGGGTGGGGAGGGGCTGGGTGGGGAGGGAGGGGAGGGGCTTGGTGGGGAGGGAGGGGCTGGGTGGGGAGGGGCTGGGTGGGGAGGGAGGGGCTGGGTGGAGAGGGGAGGGTGGGGAGGGGCTGGGTGGGGAGGGAGGGGCTGGGTGGGGAGGGAGGGGCAGGGTGGGGAGGGGCTAGGTGGGGAGGGCTGGGTGGGGAGGGTGGGGAGCGGCTGTGTGGAGGGGTGGGGCTGGGTGGGAGAGGGGAGGGTGGGGAGGGGCTGGGTGGGGAGGGAGGGGCTGGGTGGGGAGGGGTGGACCTGGGTGGAGAGGGGAGGGTGGGGAGGGAGGGGCAGGGTGGGGAGGGGCTAGGTGGGGAGGGCTGGGTGGGGAGGGTGGGGAGGGGTGGGGAGGGGCTAGGTGGGGAGGGCTGGGTGGGGAGGGTGGGGAGGGGCTGGGTGGGGAGGGGAGGGTGGGGAGGGGCTGGGTGGGGAGGGAGGGGCAGGGTGGGGAGGGAGGGGCAGGGTGGGGAGGGGCTAGGTGGGGAGGGCTGGGTGGGGAGGGGAGGGTGGGGAGGGGCTGGGTGGGGAGGGAGGGGCTGGGTGGGGAGGGAGGGGCTGGGTGGGGAGGGAGGGGCTGGGTGGGGAGGGAGGGGCTGGGTGGGGAGGGAGGGGCTGGGTGGGGAGGGCTAGGTGGGGAGGGCTGGGTGGGGAGGGCTAGGTGGGGAGGGCTGGGTGGGGAGGGGAGGGTGGGGAGGGGCTGGGTGGGTGGGGAGGGGAGGGTGGGGAGGAGCTGGGTGGGGAGGGTGGGGAGGGGCTGGGTGGGGAGGGAGGGGCTGGGTGGAGAGGGGAGGGTGGGGAGGGGCTGGGTGGGGAGGGAGGGGCTGGGTGGGGAGGGAGGGGCTGGGTGGGGAGGGGCTAGGTGGGGAGGGCTGGGTGGGGAGGGTGGGGAGGGGCTGGGTGGGTGGGGAGGGCTGGGTGGGGAGGGGCTGGGTGGGGAGGGAGGGGCTGGGTGGAGAGGGGAAGGTGGGGAGGGGCTGGGTGGGGAGGGAGGGGCTGGGTGGGGAGGGAGGGGCAGGGTGGGGAGGGGCTAGGTGGGGAGGGCTGGGTGGGGAGGGTGGGGAGCGGCTGTGTGGAGGGGTGGGGCTGGGTGGAGAGGGGAGGGTGGGGAGGGGCTGGGTGGGGAGGGAGGGGCTGGGTGGGGAGGGGTGGGCCTGGGTGGAGAGGGGAGGGTGGGGAGGGAGGGGCTGGTGTGGGGAGGGAGGGGCAGGGTGGGGAGGGGCTAGGTGGGGAGGGCTGGGTGGGGAGGGTGGGGAGGGGCTGGGTGGGGAGGGAGGGGCAGGGTGGGGAGGGAGGGGCAGGGTGGGGAGGGAGGGGCTGGGTGGGGAGGGAGGGGCTGGGTGGGGAGGGAGGGGCTGGGTGGGGAGGGAGGGGCTAGGTGGGGAGGGCTGGGTGGGGAGGGGAGGGTGGGGAGGGGCTGGGTGGGTGGGGAGGGGAGGGTGGGGAGGGGCTGGGTGGGGAGGGTGGGGAGGGGCTGGGTGGGGAGGGAGGGGCTGGGTGGAGAGGGGAAGGTGGGGAGGGGCTGGGTGGGGAGGGAGGGGCTGGGTGGGGAGGGAGGGGCTGGGTGGGGAGGGGCTAGGTGGGGAGGGCTGGGTGGGGAGGGAGGGTGGGGAGGGGCTGGGTGGGTGGGGAGGGCTGGGTGGGGAGGGGCTGGGTGGGTGGGGATGGGCTGGGTGGGGAGGGGCTGGGTGGGGGGTGGGAGGGGTGGGGCTGGATGGGGAAGGGCTGGTCACCCCGTGGTGCCCTTATAAAACTAAACGTTTAACCTACTCACGCCGATTGTTCACGCTTACAGTGGCTTTCAGACCGCATCCATTATTTTTGTCTCCCCCCTCCTCTTTTCCGAACATAGATGGACTCGTCCATCTGAATAAACTGTCAAATCGCTCTCCGTGGTGCTAACGTTAAGAAAAGACCGCCACTTTTTTCAAAATTTCTTGCTGTGGTTTTCACATCTGATGATGATTGCTTGTGTTGCAGTCGAAACGTCGTGAGAATTTTATTGTTTTATATTTTTAATTATTTTATTGTTTCCCTTCCACGTGACTTTACCGAAAGAACCAAGAATATGTTTATATACTGGATATGTTTAACGAATCAGCGCTGTACGGGGTAGCGCTAAATGGGGTATGCCTGTACAGGGTGGTCCCGATGTTTGGTGACTCCCAATTAACTCACCCCTAACATTTATTTTCCTACCTTTGTATGTTCATTTCCGTTTTAAATAAACTTTACTTAAAATTTTATTTAAAGTTTTAGAGGATTAAATGGGGGGAGGGGAGATGGGGGAGGGGTCACAAGACATTTGGACCACTGTACAATTACAGATATTCAGAAACATGTTAGCACGTAACATTTGTAAAGGTTGAGTTGTATTTTTAATGCTTACTATCCATTGATATTTCATTCATGTGCTATCCAACTATGACTTTTTTTAATGGCACCCTCACTATTGCAGTCGGCCAGGAACCTAATGTACCTAAAAACTGTTGTTCCTTCACCAGGATTCGTTTGTTACCTTACATGACATTCAGATGGATTGTTGCATTTCAAGACTGAAATATGGTGACAGCTGGTGGAGATCATGCCTGATGATGATGATATTGTACAATGCATCGTGTAAGGCTAGTGCTCAGCTCACTAATTGGCTGACCCAGAGTCAATGGTAGAAATTGTGTAATAAACATACTGAGGGCGTGGGGATTGCCTTCATCCAGCAGTGGAATAATCGTGGCTGATGATGCTGACAGGGAACAACACCATTCCAAAAATGGCACTGCTCTGAGTGACCTTATTTACTCAGCTGTAATAATAAACTAAACTACAGTAATATTTTTTATTCTCCACGGTAATTCCCACTGAGCTATACAGCTCTCTTTCAGAAGCCACCTGGCCACAAATGATAGGTGAACGAAGTTGGCTTGGAATGTGGAAATTTATAGCAGCCAAATACTCTGAACGCGTGATGTTGTTTATAAATGTGGAGGGTAAAACCGGATGACCCGGAGTAACTAACATCCACGGGACCACGAGGAGAGAGACACCGCAAACTCCAAATATACAAGAGGCGTCAGGGCCTGGATCGAACCAAAGACCTCCTGTATACCAGGCGAGGTAGTTGACATCTCACCACCGTGGCGACACCTACAGCACATGAGCCAATCTCGTTTGCCTTGGTCAAGTTTGTGTGCTCAGCACTGTACTGCACTTTGCACGAATTATGTGCGGTTTAGTTTGGTATTTTAGCGATTCTTCTTGCCGCATATGCTTCTATTTTTTTCCACTGAGCAGAGAGACCCAGTAAACATGGAACGTTAGGCCAACGTTGGTCCAAAGGTTCCAAGAATTGCATGCCAACATTCGCATGCATAGCCGTAAACCCATACGGTGATGCTCGTACAGGGAGAATTGAGTTTTCAGTATGTACAACCGTTTCAATACGGGCACATTTTGGTTGTCTGTTTGTGTATCAACGCTTGTGATGGGAACTTTGTGGGATGAACGTTGTCTGAATTGCTCCGCGATAAGGTTGGCACTTATAGGGGGGTTTGACAGGGTATGCGCATGTTTACTGGGGAGATACATGTATTAGCCGAAGACATAATCCGTCGAACGATCCAATACTTGGAGCAATCACATGTGGTCGGGATTGCTGGCCCGGGTGCAGTGCGGCGAACCTGTGGTGTCACCCGAGTTCGAGTCCCTCTCACGGCCACCCAACACCGGCGGACTCGTACCCGAGCCGGCCCCCGGCCTCCCGTGGGTCGCCTCGGCTTCGAGTGGGTACCTGGTAGCGGTGTGTTAGTGTAGACATCGCCCACTGGGGGGGGGGAAGACAAAGACGGCCGGGAGTGACGCTGACCCCCCCCACCTTCGTGTGCCGCGTCACGCGCCTCATTGCCCACAGGAGCGCGACGCGGTGACACCGGCACGCGTGAGTCTCGCTGGCGCGCCACCAACACTAAGCCACGACTAAGTCTGTAGTTTGTCGAGGTTAGCGCCACGACTAAGTCTGTGGTTTGTCGAGGTTAGGGCCACGACTAAGTCTGTGGTTTGTCGAGGTTAGCGCCACGACTAAGTCTGTAGTTTGTCGAGGTTAGCGCCACGCTGCGCTACAAACCCGGCTACCCGGGTCTCGATTCCCGCTCCTCACGGCCACTGACGATTGCCAGCCTCTCTCTAAACGAGTTACTACCTGGTGCGCTGTGTGTAGCAAGTAAACATCGCTACAGGGGGGGGGAGACAAAGGCGGCCGGGCGTGGTGCTGGCCACCCACCCCCTCGTGTGCCGTGCCGGCCTTCATAGGTGCTCACTAACATCTCCTTGCCCCTACAGTCTGTTACAGGCTACACGTGAGTGGGGGGGATCTGTGTGTGTGTGTGTTGTCACCAGCGGTGTCAACGTCGGCCTCTGTAGAGGAGGAGGCTCCTGGTGCACCTAGCCTGGCACAGTAGGGGGCACAGGTGGTGCATCAGACACTCGTCTCAGTCGTCTCAGTCAGTCGATCCGTGGCCACCTGCTGGGTCTGCCCCGAGACCTCCTCCTGCCGGCGGGCGTTCGACACTTCACGTGGCCTCAAGGTGCACGTAGCCTGGCACAAGTGTCGTCGTGGTGACGTCACCGCCACTGAGTGGCGATTGTTGTTGTTGTTGTCACCGTAAGTTGTTGTTAATCTATTTGAGAGGCCGCTCTTGCACATTGCGCCGTGTTGTGTAACTGCGCAAACTTGGAAACAGCGGCGGGTGAGGAGCCGCTCGGCTCTCGTCACTTAACAGTAACTACCGCACTGTATGCAATCGCTAAGCTCCGTAGCACACACTAGAGTGTATATATGTGTGCAATACACTGCATAGCATATCTCTCTGTGCGCGCGTGTGTGTGTAAATAATTGTAATAAAGTGTTGGTAATTATTTTAACAGTGCTGCGGTTGACGCGGTGAGTAGGCCCAGGCGCGCTCAGCTGTGCGCTGGCGTGCATCGTTAATTGGAATAAAAGTTGTCGTTGCATTGCTAAGTTATTGTGATGCATAACGTGCACTCGGTTGCCATGGTTTTCATGTGCACACTGTTGCCTTAGTGTTCATGTGCACACTGTTGCCTTAGTGTTCATGTGCACACTGTTGTCTTAGTGGTCATGTGCACTCTGTTGCCTTGGTGTTCATGTGCACACTGTTGCCTTAGTGTACATGTGCACTCTGTTGCCTTAGTGTACATGTGCACTCTGTTGCCTTAGTGTAAATGTGCACACTGTTGCCTTAGTGTGCATGTGCACACTGTTGTCTTAGTGTTCATGTGCACTCTGTTGCCTTGGTGTTCATGTGCACACTGTTGCCTTAGTGTTCATGTGCACTCTGTTGCCTTGTGCACTCTGTTGCCTTAGTGTACATGTGCACACTGTTGCCTTAGTGTACATGTGCACTCTGTTGCCTTAGTGTTAATGTGCACTCTTGCCTTAGTGTACGTGTGCACTCGGTTGCCTTAGTGTACATGTGCACACTCTTGCCTTAGTGTACATGTGCACTCTGTTGCCTTAGTGTTAATGTGCACACTGTTGCCTTAGTGTAAATGTGCACACTGTTGCCTTAGTGTGCATGTGCACACTGTTGTCTTAGTGTTCATGTGCACTCTGTTGCCTTGGTGTTCATGTGCACACTGTTGCCTTAGTGTTCATGTGCACTCTGTTGCCTTGTGCACTCTGTTGCCTTAGTGTACATGTGCACACTGTTGCCTTAGTGTACATGTGCACTCTGTTGCCTTAGTGTTAATGTGCACTCTTGCCTTAGTGTACATGTGCACTCGGTTGCCTTAGTGTACATGTGCACACTCTTGCCTTAGTGTACATGTGCACTCTGTTGCCTTAGTGTTAATGTGCACACTGTTGCCTTAGTGTACATGTGCACACTTTTGCCTTAGTGTCCATGTGCACACTGTTGCCTTAGTGTTCATGTGCACACTGTTGCCTTAGTGTGCATGTGCACACTGTTGTCTTAGTGTTCATGTGCACTCTGTTGCATTGGTGTTCATGTGCACACTGTTGCCTTAGTGTTCATGTGCACTTTGTTTCCTTGTGCACTCTGTTGCCTTAGTGTACATGTGCACTCTGTTGCCTTAGTGTTAATGTGCACTCTTGCCCTAGTGTACATGTGCACTCGGTTGCCTTAGTGTACATGTGCACACTGTTGCCTTAGTGTACATGTGCACTCTGTTGCCTTAGTGTTCATGTGCACACTGTTGCCTTAGTGTTCATGTGCACACTGTTGTCTTAGTGTACATGTGCACTCGGTTGCCTTGGTGTTCACGTGCACACTGTTGCCTTAGTGTTCATGTGCACACTGTTGCCTTAGTGTTCATGTGCACACTGTTGCCTTAGTGTACATGTGCACTCTTGTCTTAGTGTTCATTTGCACACTGTTGCCTTAGTGTTCATGTGCACACTGTTGCCTTAGTGTGTGCACACTGTTGCCTTAGTGTACATGTGCACTCTGTTGCCTTAGTGTCCATGTGCACTCTGTTGCCTTAGTGTTCATGTGCACTCTGTTGCCTTAGTGTCTCTGTTGCCTTAGTGTACATGTGCACACTGTTGCCTTAGTGTCCATGTGCACACTGTTGCCTTAGTGTTCATGTGTACGCTGTTGCTTTAGTGTACATGAACACTCTGTTGCCTTAGTGTCCATGTCCACTCTGTTGCCTTAGTGTCCATGTGCACACTGTTGCCTTAGTGTTCATGTGGACGCTGTTGCTTTAGTGTCCATGTGCACACTGTTGCCTTAGTGTTCATGTGTACGCTGTTGCTTTAGTGTACATTAACACTCTGTTGCCTTAGTGTACATTAACACTCTGTTGCCTTAGTGTCCATGTGCACTCTGTTGCCTTAATGTCCATGTGCACTCTGTTGCTTTAATGTCCATGAACACTCTGTTGCCTTAGTGTACATGTCCAGTGATTAGCGCATTGTGCCACAAACCCTGGCCACTCGAGTTCGATCCCAGGCTATGGGTCGCACGAATTGGTGGTGGCCCCGAGGCCTCCCGCTCAGTCGACTCAGCCCTTGATGTGTGAATGCCAGCACTGGCAAGGGGCGGCCCGGCGTGATTCTGGCCCGATTCTGGCCCGATTCTGGCCCGATTCTGGCCCCACACCACGTCTAGTCGTGCCCCATGCCGACCTTAATAGGTGCTCGCCAATGTCAATTGTCCCCGACAGTCTGTGCGTCCCAACAGGGCCATGTGTGTCTTTTACGTGCAATACAGTTTGTAATGCTGTTAGCATACACTGCATGCATCTTCTTTGTTTGGCCATAGAATGTAGAACTAAGTAATGTTTGCGCCAACTTCATCAATGTGACATTTGTATGAGGAGATAATATTGGGAGAAAAAAATAACAAGTATAATTTGCCAAACGTCCCAATGTAGCATGATCCTCATGACAATGTTTCACGAGACTCTGCGAAGCTTTCCTGGATAAGTAAATAACTTTACCGTGTTATTGTCACACAATATTGCTGTTGAACGATGTCGGCCCTGAAACCTAAAGCAAAGGTCATGTTCCTGGAATTTCCACTCATTGAAACTGCCTATCCATTTGGTACTACGTGAAGCCACGTTCTCAAGGTGCGGATCATGGCACTTGAAACTATTTGACCTGTAGAGTATTGTTCTGTGGAGACCAAATTGGGAGTGGAGTGGTGGCGGGTTGGTGAGTACTTCGCTGTGTTCGATTCTCTGCCATGGCCAACATCAGCAGCGGGTGAAACGATCCTACTAACCAACAACCCGCATTGTCCATGTGAGGTGAAGAATGGTCCGAAAACCACCATAATTTACAGTGGTTAAACAAGGGGCTGTAAATTATTATAGACCAACCGCTGAATATTTTGCAGCCTATTAATATATCATGTACTGGCCACATACATGAAGCTATTATTGTAATGCGTTGCCGGTTAAACGGGTGATGCAAGTAATACAGTATTGTGGTTTTGTTTTAATTCCTAGAAAATGTAAGCGTTTGTCAAGATAGTACATGGCACATTGTATATGCCTGTTATAAAATCACCTTGAATGTGGCCTATCCAATTTTTACGGTGGGCTTCGTACGGTGCAAAATAAGTTCAAATACATATATCTTGTGAGGTCTCCCAACGCTACGCAGGGCTGGGTCTCTAAATGATCTCAATTACAACATATCCATCGAGGGTACAGTGATTAACATAACGAGGGAAAGCATATGTGGCATATTTCCCTATTTGCCATGCAGAAGTAACTGTGTTTGAGGAAGTGGTTGATATTACAGGGGAAGTAGCTGAACAGGAGAGGGATTGTGCAATAATTTTAATCGGGATGACTGGTCCATTTCTCCAGGAAAACGTGTAAACATTAGGGCTGTCTTGTGACCAGTTGGCTCTGATAATTTAACACACCGCCATCAGCAGTGGCAACTGATGATGATCCTTATGGGATGACTTGGTCTAAATTTAGTAGTGTATCTGGTGGAGTGGTGTGGTCGTGAACATCAAGAACACGGGATATTAAAGCCACTAGGTGTGCCTGACATTGGCTATATCGCTTCCTCTTGTGCATGGTGGGCTTAATAGGTACTGACTAACATACACAGTACATGCAGCTGACCAGGGGACCTTTGACTTTGTTTCGCACATTTACAATATGACGGGTGATAAAAAAAAGACTGTGGCCATATTACAATGTAATGTGAGCCACTTGACTGTGATAACGACTGTGTTTGTTGTGTTCCCACATTACATACTGCAGCAGGCAGGATGGTTGTTGCAGAGAGACCAGCCTACAGCCGGGCTATCTTCAAGATTACTTGGACACCTCTGCTGCTGCTGCTGCTGCTAGTGCCACAGCCTTCACTGCTGGTGCAGGTGGCATCATATGTCCTCCCGGCCACCACGCCGCATAGCTGCTACGTCTTCAACCACACAGCGGACTGCAGGTGCCACCCTGCTCTGTACCTTGAATGAGGGGCAGAGGTGCAGCAGTTAGCATGCCATGCCACGAACCCGGCCACCCGAGTTCGATTCCCGCTCACGGCCAACACCGGTGACGATTATCTGAACTGCTCCTGGGACCCTCCTAAGTCGACTCAGCTTCAAATGAGTACCTGGTGGTACGATGTGTAAACATCGCCACCAAGGAAGCAAATGCGGTCGGGCGTGGTGCTAGCCACCCACCCCCTCGTGTGCTGTGCTGACCTTCATAGGTGCTCGCTAACAGCACTTCCCCCAACAGTCTGTCAAGGCTATGCAGGTGATATTTGTCTTTGTGCCTGGCCTACATACCCAACCACGTAATGTCCACCAGAGCAGACACACACGGCAGAACCTCGGCCAAATTGACTTTTTCTGCAAGCGATATACAAGTTTACTCCCCTGTATTTAACTTCAATAAAAATAAATGTAACTAATAGTTAACATCAGCCCACAGGCTCTCATGGTATCAGATAATACAAAATAAAGGGGAGTCTACTTGTAGACCACAAGGCATTATTATGATACATTTTTCAGAAATCACTGCATCCATGCTGTCATGTACTTACGCATCTCACAGTCTGTTAGACTGGAGTGGGATGTTAGACCAGGTCCTTGCACTATTATGCTTTTCAGCAGCTCGCATTCGTTTCTGTTGATGTTGCACTTTTGCTGTCAGAACATGGAGCAATTACGAGTGACATTAGCATGTGCACGCTTGTCGCTTACACGACCTTTGTTTTTCGCTTTTCCTGCAGACACCGGCAGCTGTCGCACGTTCCAGACAACCTCCCGACCGATCTCACCTCCCTGCTTCTGGAGCACAACAGGCTGCATTCGCTCCAGTCGCACCTTCTCGCTCGCTATCCTGCCCTCCGCTACCTCGAGGCCGGTTACAACTCCATCTCGCAGATATCGCCGAACGACAACCCGTGCGCCGTGCTGCCCAACCTCGCTGTCCTCTCGATTCCGCACAACCAGCTGGGCAAGCTGCACAGCGGGGTTTTCGCGAGCTGCTCCGAGCTCACCGAGCTCGACCTGTCCTTCAACACCCTTCAACGGACGTCGGCCGAAGAAAACATCTTCGCGACGTTGACGGTGACCGATATTTGAAAAGGCTTAACCTGGACCAAGTCATTGGTAGGGACGTGGTAGCTCACGCCCTCGTGTTCACCATCACTTTGAATTCGTTTTTACCAGCTCCAGGGACAGCGTGTAACAGGCCCAGAAACTGCCCCAGTCCCCACGCCGGGTGGCGTTTAGGAAGCGGTCTGCAAATAGAGCAGATTTTTTTTTTTGCCAAGTGTAATGTAAGCAGGCTTTAGGCTAGGATATTTTAAATGAAATTCGAATAGTGTTTGAACATTTTTGGTTGGGAATATTTTGCACCAACACGACCAGGAAGTTGAGCTAAGCAGAGTGACATCATGGCACGTGTGCCTAGTCAATGTGTCGTTCCTGTGATGTCATGACTGTTCTTGGGTTGGCGCGGCTAAACAAGAAATATAATACTTGGTGAATAGGCTCTGCGATTCATCTTGGAGGATCCATCATGGTTGGTTCATGCAGACTCAACTGCCATGGGGAAACATGCTCTTTGGCCAGGCCCTCTTCCATCCCGGTTCTAGCACGATTCCCAGTGGCTGTGGAAAACGAGGCATCAGGGACTTTGACGACTCTGTTCACGTTTGAGTCTGAATACTGCATGTCTTTTGTCTGACAGTTTATCCAGCTTGCTACATGCAGTGGTCTCTCAGGCTGGTCACAATTGGGAAAAAAAGTGATTTTCACTTCAGTTGGTCAGCCTAGTAAACCTCTCGTGTGCAAAAGTAAATTATGTGCCTTCACGTGGGAGTACAGAATGTTTTGTAGAAGTACATTAAGCAAAGTCTTGTGATCCCCCCCCCCCACCATCCCTGGTTATACGGCATGTGTGCCATTGCTCTTGAAGGGAATCCAGAATGGAAAATTCCTTCTCTTTGTGTCTGAACGCCAATGAAGCATGGAAAAAAAAATATTCCATCTCAAATATCTGGCTTTCAAGAGCATTCACGCCATCATTTTTTGTACAAACTGAACAGCAGGCGAGAGGAAAACGCCATATAACCGAACGGGCACATGCCTCATCGTGTGTTTTTCTTCAGAACTTGACGGTGCTGAACATCACTCACAATCATCTGCAGACGGTCAAGATCGGGACCTTCAAGCAGCTGCCCGAGCTCCGTTACCTGAACTACTCGAACAACATCATCCACACACTCAGAGACCAGGACTTCGTGTTCGTGCAGAACGTCAGCTTATACGCGATTGACCTGTCCCGTAACCCCCTGCAAACTGTGAGTGATGAGGAGGCATGCAGCGGTGTGGGGTCAGATCGGCTGTTGGTGGTGGTCGTGGTTTTTGCAGAGGGAAAAATAATTGAAAGGCTTCTTGTAAAGCTGTGCAAGCAACCTCGAGGGTTTGTTTGCATGTGGGACGACCACTGGAGCTGTCTTGTGTGAAAACTGTTACTGACAAGAAGGGGCCTTTGGCTGGCCGAAAGATGACACGTTGATGCAAGTGGTTTCTGTTGGCCCATGTTCTTCATTGCTAGGTCCGTGGGCCACTGGTGGCCCCTGGTGGCCTTTAGTGCGGCCCCCAACAATACACAAAGGTGAACACACCCATTATCGTGCTGTCAAACCAAATATTTTCAGACGTGTGACATCCCTCACACTGGTGGCTTATCGGCGAAAGTGGCCCGCCTCTGAAAATATATGAAGAACACTGCTGGAGGCCAATGTTGCTGTTTTCTGTTTGGTGCCACAGCTAACAGCACCTGACGGGTGCAGAGAGACATTGGCCTTGATGTAAGGAATTATTTAATGGGCCCTAAATTCACGAGCATGATCTTGACTTACCGATTCTGCTGTTTAAATCTAAAGTGAGTGGAGAGTTGGGGACTAATACTGGAAAGGTGCATTCCACTAAACTACAAACTTAATACGAGATGCGGTAAAACATTTGAAAAGTAGATACAGTACTGACATAAGGCACACCAAACAGAATATTATTTGTGAACAAGTATACCTCAGAATGAGTATGCACATGTACAGCCATCTTTGTCAATCCACTGCTGGAAGAGGGCCTTGCCATACCGTGAGGGTTATTTGACCTCACCAACCTGGCCAGTGCAGGTTTGTGGAGGTAGGGAGTATAGTACACCAGTGAATTTTTCTGCACTGCCCTTTGCTGCCCACAGTTTAGTTTTCCATCCTTTAACACCTGTTTTATGAATGGTCGCTATGCATCCAAGCCTTATCCAGGCTCAGTACTGCTTCCATGTTGAGATATTACTAGATTGGGTGCATCCCAGGTGATTTGATCATGGGCACACTGAGTAGGCTGATCGTTAATGAGCATTGCGCTTGTGTCTGTATGTGTGCTCAGTTTGATGGGGAAAGGTGGCGCAATGGTGAGTGGACTGCGCTATGAACTCGGTTACCCGAGTTCGATTCCTGCTCACGACCAATGAGAGTGGCAATGGGCCTCCCATTCGTCGATTCAGCCTCAATTGAGTACCCGATGTGGTGTGTAGTAAACATCGCCACTAGGGAGACAAAGGCGACCGGGTGTGGTGCTGGCCACCCATCCCCTCGTGTACCGTGCCAGCCTTCATTGGTGCTCGCCAACAGCACTTGCCCCTGTTAAGGCTACACGGCGGGGGGGGGGGGGATCTTTATCTCTGTCAGTTTGCAGATGGCTGTTTTAAACACGTACTCTTTGACCTGCTGGTGCTGGACTCGACGGCGCTGGGCTCACCCGCCACGAAGCTGACCTCGCTGTGCCAGCAGCTCCAGGGGGCGCCCCTCAAAGCGCTGTCACTTAGGAACGTGCAGCTGCGATCGGTGAAGTCGCAGTCGTTCCGATACCTGTCCTCGTGTCCTCTCCTTGCGAGGCTCGACCTGTCCCATAACGGCCTGACCGCCATCGACGACGACGCCTTCACGGGGCTGCAAAACCTCGAGGAGCTCGTCTTGGAGGGCAACAATCTGCTCAAAATTTCGGGCAACACGTTCAGGGGCCTGAGCGCGCTCAAGTACCTGCACATGGCCAACAGTTCACGGAGTCTCGGCGCAATCGGGAAAGATACTCTGTCTTCCCTGTCCCAGTCACCCCTGCTCTACCTGAATCTGTCCCGCTCGGGGATTACGAAAATTTCCAAAGGCGCCTTTCAGTCCACGCCACTCCTGCAGAGGCTCGACCTAGGGATGAACAAGCTCAACCAGAGGTTAATGGGCAACGAATTCGCCGGGCTGAGCGCCGTGCTGGACATATACATGTCGTACAACACGTACGTGATGCTCACGTCGGGCTCGTTCGCGAACACACCCTCTCTGCGGCGGCTGTGGCTGTCGCGCACGCGTCTCACCAGCCTCGACTCGGAACGGTCGCCATTCTACGGCCTCGTCAACCTCACCTACCTCGACCTGAGCAACAACAACATGAACAAGGTGCTCGGGGACACGTTCCGCGGGCTCGCCGCGCTGCAGACGCTCAAGCTTGGGCACAACAACCTGGCCCGCCTTTGGAAGCACAACAACCCTCCGGTGCTCTATCTCGACGGGCTGCGGCAGCTGCGCTCGCTGGAGCTGCTGTTCAACGGCTTCGACGAGGTTCCGGCGGCAGCCTTTGCCGGCCTCTCCAACCTTCGCTCGCTCGACATGAACTCCAACAACATGGACAAGTTCCCGCCAGGGGTCTTCAACCCGCTGACGAGCCTCGCCTCGCTCGACCTGCGCAGGAACCTCATCACCGGCGTGCAGGAGGAGGTGTTCGGGGAGGTGTTCGGGCACCTCGACGACCTGTGGTTGGGCACGCGAAACCCGTTCGACTGCACGTGCGACAGCCTTGGCTGGTTCGCCAACTGGCTGCGCAACGCCACCGGATCCCCGGGGCACGGGCACGTCCACGTGCCGGGCGCCGACACGGAGTACGTCTGCCGGACGCCGCCCAGCTACTTCAACACGTCTGTGCTGGCGTTCGACACCTTGGCGTGCAAGGACCACGCGCCGTTCTTCGTCATGTACGTGGTCAGCCAGTCGGCGCTGCTGTCCGTCGTCGTCGTGGCGCTGTTCGTCCACTTTCAGGGCTGGCGCTTGGAGTACTTCGCCTCGGTGCTAGTGCACCGCGTGCTTGGCTACGAGTCGCTGCCGTCCGTCAGCGGCGGGGAAGAGGAGGGCCAGGAGGAGGGCGCCGCAAGACGGGCGCAGTACAGGTGCGGTGTCTGCTAGATCTGGGCGACGTTGGTCGAGGCCGTTTTCAATGACGTCGGTTGTTGCTTTGCGCGACCCCGAGCGCCCGCTCGGCCGATGCCAGGACCGCTCTGCGTCACAGAGAAGCGGTTGGTCTCGGCTTAGATTATCGGTACTGCAAATGGCTGAGTGGCTCGAAGCTGCAGACGGTACATGTATTTTATGTATTGGGTAAGCTAGGGCTATTTTACTTTTTAGCCCATTGATTGTCACATCAATCCAACCGTCGATGGAAATACGCACCCTAACATCTATAGGTAGCAGTCCAACACTGCTGTCGACTAGAGCTTCATAGCTCATCGGATTTCTCCAGGATAAATACAGATTTTAATTATGGCTAACACCCACAGCTCAGTGGAATGAATGTCCTGCTTTGGTATGTTTCAATCCATTTTAAAGTTTTGGATGTGGGAGGATACCAGAGTACACAAAGAAGACCCCCCGCACTGGTGGAAGTAACACACTCAAATCCGCACGGATGGGCTCAACGAGCCCGCTTGCTGTCCCGACAGTTTTGTGGCACAAAATCAAAGTGAGCCCCGCCCCCAAACTCACTTCTCCGCACAGCGCTGGCTTCCCAGGCGTGCACCGCCGCCTGCAAGCACGATGATCGGTCGCGCGCGCCCGCATTAACCACTCCCTAACGACGTCCTCGATCGTTTTTCTGCGATGGCGGCGCAGCTACGACGTGTTCGTCATCTGCTCGAGCGAGGACGAGCACTGGACGAGCAGACACCTGGAGCCGCTGGAAGAAGACGGGATGAAGCTTTGGCTGGAGGAGCGCGACCTGCTGGGCGGAGAGGTGCGCGCCGAAGCGTACAGCACCTGCATGCACCAGAGCCGGCGGGTGCTGGTCGTCGTCACGAGGGCGCTCTTCCGCGACACCTACTACCGCAAGTGAGTTCGCGCGTGGCCGTTCCCGCGACAGGGGGGGGGGAGAGCTGGTTAAAAGCCTCCTCCTTACTGAGGCCCGAATAAAGACTTTCAATAGGACCTTAGCCTCGGACTGTTGTGGAAAGTGCTGTTAGCGAGCACCTGTGAAGGCTGGCATAGTACACAAGGGGGTAGGTGGCCAACACTCGGCCCGGCCGCTTTTGTCTCCCTAGTTCTGATGTCTACACATGGCACCAGGTACTCATTTGAGGCCGAGTGGACCTAGGGGAGGCCCAGGGACAGTTCGGATAATCGCCAACTGGTTGTTGACTACGAGCGGGAATAGAACTCGGGTCGCCAGGTTCGTAGTGCAGCGCGCTAAACGCTACACTGCCGCTCCCCACTTGTTAACACAGGCGTCGGGTCGATGCTGTCCACTGCAGTGACAGAAGAAGTGACTGCGTGTGTTGGAAATAGAAACGGTGTTTTGAAGAGGTGCTCGCAGTGACAAATATTAAATTCCGGGCTGCGGGTTGTAGGTTCCCCGGCCCTATGTTAGGTTCATCCAAGGCCCTTTGGCTAGAACCATACTTTTGAGTCTTAACTAAATCTAACTTTTTTATTTTACCAGGTAAGGGCCACTGAGCTATACAACTCTTTTTCCGAAGTGACCCGGCAACAAATGATATCCCAACGAAGTCGCTTATCATCACGTGGCAATTTATGGCAGCCAAATACTCTAAACGCACGTTTCTAAATGTGGAGGGAAAAACCAGAGGACCCGGAGAAAAATCCACGCGATCACGGGGAGAGAGACACGCGAACTCCAAATACACAGGCACCCAGGGTCGGGATCAAACCCACGACCTCCTGTATACCAGGCGAGGGAGTTAACATCACACTGCCAAAACCACAACGGACTTTACACTGCTTGTTCAGCTCTCGTTGGTCAGATTCAAATTTAGTGCTTCTCTGCTTAATGGAGCCAGTGGTTGAAATCCCTTATTCCTTTTGTAGGGGTAAATAAATAATATTCATGATAACGTTTTTCGGGTTCGATCGCATAAATGTGTCGTAAACCCACCGGCACTCGACACTGCCTATCAGTAGGGTTTGTCACGTGAGCAGAACATGCCAATGAGTTGCTACTTCTGCACACCGGTTGTGTGTTGGAGAGCAAACCCGCAGCATTAGCCATTGATCGCGACGTTCCGCTGGTGTGTTTACGACCAGCATCATGACTCTGCCAGAACCTAAATCTGCGTGTAGGAAACCGATTAAAAATCTTCATTTCATGCTTATCAGCTGCTGGAATATAAACTGATGAGTGAATTTGTTTTGGCTGTCCTCCCTGACTCACTGAAATTCCACATCCCTCTGGCAGGGGCTAATCTATTCCGAAGACCACATTCCTAGATGGAACGGCACTTCATTTGATACAATGACGACTTAATCCCAGACACGCGAGTCGATTGATAAAGAAATGACAACTTTGCGGCGCTCGCACGGATTAGGCCGACAGCCGGTGGTGCGTCCCGCGCTGCCGCCGACAGGTTCGCGGTCGCGCAGGCGCAGAAACGCGCCATCGAGCAGAACCGCGACGACGTTGTGCTGGCGCTGCTGGAGGACATCCCCGAGTTTGAGCTGCACCACAAGCTGTGCCTGCGCGCCGCCATGTTCCCGCGCCGCTGCGTCCTCCGCTGGCCCCAGGATCCCACGCGGCTGCCGCTCTTCCTGCAGCAGCTGCGCGTCGCGCTCGGCAGCGCCTGACGCCCACCCACCCCCCCCGCCCCGCCCCTGGCCCCCTGGCTTGTGTGCCGTCGGGTAAGCTGGCCCCAAAGGTACGACGGTCGAGACCTCGGATGGGTTCGCTTTGCCCATTTTTTTCCCCCCGTTCCGATGATGCACGTGCGCGTATGTCATTCGTTTTTTTTTTTTTTTAAATCTCCCCGGGGGGTTACGAAAGACCTGATTTCGGGGGAATCCGACTTTACGGAAATGCTCCCGTGAATCGTGTTAAAAAAAAAAATACGCGGAAATGTTTGCGTTAGTTACATGAGCTCAACTAGTGCAAAAGTCGGTGAGTTTGCGGATGAACCTCACCGCGCTGTACCAAAACGCCGCCTTCACCGAGCCCGAGCTTCAAGAGGATTAAGGTAAATGGATTTTTAGCATCACGTAATTCTTTTCCTTTTGTAGCATTACGTAATTGCTTGTTTTCTGTACAGTATGTACTGTGTATCCGTGTGTTTGTGTGTGTATGTGTGTGTGTGCGCGTGTGTGTCTTCGCCGGTTGGAAACATTTAGGCTGGCCTGCCTACAATCCATCCTGGGTTTAACCAGGCTGGATTGTGTGAGGAGCTCACAAATCCTTGAAAGATCTGGGCAAGGTCCCATCGGTGAGCTCCTCCGGCAGGCAAGGCTGTGTTGGCTGGGTCATGTAGCTCGCATGCCCAGCCACCGCATGCCGAAACAGCTTTTGTTCGGCCGGATCGAGGGGGCTAAACGGCCACGGCACGGGCTGGAGAAGAGACGGAGTGATGTGGTACAGGAGGCACGGGCTAGAGAAGAGATGGAGTGATGTGGTACAGGAGGACGTGGAGCTGAGTGGACTTGCCGATGACTGGTACCAGCGGTGTCAAGATCGGCCTCTGTGGAGGAGGCTCGTGAAGGACGCTACTGGGCAGTTGGAGGTAGTCGCCCTCCAACAACAACGGAGGGCGGAGGAGTGACGCTCACAACAACGAGCAGAGCGCCGGGTGGCTAAAGCACAGCAGGTTCGCACAGTAGGGGGCACAGGCGGTGCATCAGGCAGCCATCTCAGTCAGTCGACCCGTGGCACCTGGGTCTGCCCCGTGACCTCCTGCCAGCGGGCGTTCGACACTTCACGTGGCCTCAAGGTGCACATGGCCTGGCACAAGCGTCGTGGTGACGTCACCGCCACTTAGTGGCGAATGGCGGTTGTTGTTGTTGTGTGTGTAGACGAGCCTACTCCACCTTTGTCTTTGTGTACGTGTGTGTATGTGAAGTCTAGGCCGAGCTGAATCCACTGTAAACATTCGGAAGTGACTGCTTTCTGTTAATATTAAAATCAACAATTGGGTACAGTATATGTTCCATTAGTTTAATGGGTAGTCTTAGGGTAGATAATCAATGAAATGAAAGAAATCATAGGAAGTTCAGAGTGTATGTACAGCAATACAGCTAGCGATAGAAAGTGGATGACAACGTGAGACAGTGCTGAGACGAAATGGCAGGAGAGGCACAATTATTTCCGGCTTTGGGATTTTTTTCTTGATTTTGGGGGAAAATTGTTCAGTTTTCCGGCGTACGGAAAAATCGGGTTACGGATATTTCTCAGGAGCCTAACCCTTCCGTAATCCAGGGAACTGCCTGTACATGCACATCATCGGAACGGTAATCGGAAGAAAAAAATTAAACAACTTTTTTGATACCGAGGCTTCCACAAGGCCATGCGGGAGGGCGTGTGGCACAGTTTTGTGCCAGGTATCATAGAGTGGCGGCCGTATTGCTCCAGTTCTCTCTGGTGAGTACAATATCTTTGAAACGCAACGATGCTACGCATCTCTAAAATTAACGGCAAGCCGCTTGCGCGTTCCGAGATTTGGCGGAGAACGGGAAACCCACCCTACAACTTGGAAACGTCTCGGAACGGGAAAGGGTTAACCAGAGCAACGCAGGTTCAGAATCGGACGTCTTGAGATTACCGAGACTGGCCCACTGGGTAGCGGATTCGCTTTCCCAGTGTTTGGTGTTTTTATTATTTTAGCGGCGGGACGAAGTTCCGCGTTTTCATGGCTCAGATGCTTCCCCTCTCACTGCGGAGCTGGTATGCGGATGCTAACGGGGATGACTGGTGCCACGATTGTTACCAAGACTCTTCACGCAATCTCGGGGTACTTATTGGGATGACTGTCTAACCACAGGCTGCTGCAGGAAACTGAGATGGGGCTTGTTACTTGCGTGATTACACAATGCCAACCTATGGCACTTTGGCCATGTCACTCGCTTCCCCTTGGCTGACCCCGCCAACCGGGTTCTCCGAGCTAGAGAACCTCCTGGGAGGAGGCCAAGAACTCGGCCCCACAGGCCTCACGGCTGCCTCAGGTCAACGGCTACAGTCGAGACTCTCGGGGGGATAGGAAGGGGGCTCGCTTAGCAAACTTTTCCAGGAGGAACCCTCCCACCCGCCCCCCACAGTTTGACACCGGGCGGTGGACATTGCATACCCTCCGCATGCTCCCCTCTACCACCCCGATGTACCCTTACCCTGGATCCACTCATCTCGCTTGACCCATTCGTACAGCTTCGTATGTGGTCACACAGCTGTCCACGTTGCTGTTATGAAGTCCATTTACACGAGGGAATTTCAATGGGAGTGGCTGCCCCTGTCATGCCCCGCCCCCCCCCCCCCATGTCTCATCCCTAATCTGAATTTGTACAGCTTCAGCAGCAACGGTTCGGTAACACGTTTTAACAACGGCACTGGTGATAATCATTAAGGAATATTTTAGTGGTTTTGTAAGAGAAAAAAGTTTTCTTTAAATTGTCATGGTCAGTCACATCGCAGTCTTGGGCAATGTCCCGAACTTCTGTTACAGTGGTCCACGAAACTAAAACTAAAATGAAGATCTAACGCATACTGATAATCCATCGATGCCTTGCTGATCTCAAGGAGCATAAACCAGCACGTGAACTTCGCAATGCCTCTTTTGGCTAGTCATCGAACAAAGACCTGCTTTCTGATGCAGTTCTGCAGCCGTCTGGAGCGCTCTTTCAATATCAGTAAGCCACTGGAGCTGTGCACTTTTAAATCTAGATTGAAAATTCATTTCTTTAGAACTGATTTTTACGTTTCGTGTGTCCTTCGCCGCACCTCCGATTAGCACGGTTGGCTACGTACGGTGCGAAAGAAGTTCAACATACATCCAGTGGACCGTTTACTATAATTCCTGGACTCCACGTGGCTGCAGTGCTTGTGGGCTGCTTCACACACAGCGCTTGTCTGTGCATATTGCAGTTGGCTTTGTAGGTCTTGATAAACAAATAACATTCTCCAGTCTTATGTTTATTTTCACTTTCCCACGGAGGGTTTTCATTTTCGTACGCTTATGCACTTCGGGTTTATTGTTTGTTAATAAGCGAGTAACAAGAACGCGGAGAAAATAAACGTTTTACCAAAACGCGAGGGGCTGTCTTTATTGACCACAAATCGAACATGAAAACACACGAAGTCCGTCCGGGCTACGGAACAGCGACCCCCCCCCCCCCCCCCCACATACAAGCCCGACGCACAGAACAGGGCCGGTCGGCCACGTGGAATCTTAGCGAGCGACCAGCAAATGCCCACCACCATATTCACCGCGTGGGGCCCACACTCTACGACCGGTGGCTTTGGCGAGCGGCGCTCCGAGCACCCCAAACTGAGAAGTATAAACAAATGATGAGAGCCCTACCAAAGTGTCAAGAGGTGGGGGTGAGAGAGATAGGGTTAGGATTGAGGGTAAGTGGGAGGGGTTCTATCATTTATTTAACCATCTCTTTTTCAGAAGTGACCTCATGGCAAATGATAGCTCAACGAAGTGGCTTATGTGGAGATTTATAGCAGCCAAATATTCTAAACGCACGTTTCTAAATGTGGAGGGAAGCGGAGGACCTGGATAAAAATCCACGCGACCATGGGGAGAGAGACACCACAAACTCCAAATATACAGCAGGCGTCAAGGGTCGGGATCGAACCCATGGCCTCCTTTATACTAGGCGAGGGAGTTAATATCGCACCACCATGTCGAGCTGGTTAGCGTTTGGTTGGCCAAATGCTGGTTTGCTCCAATCCCAAAATGCACGCCGCTCCCCCATTGCTCCGTGTGACTTAAGGTTTTCGAACACTTTTCAGTATTTGGTGCTGAGAGCGCTGTTAAAAATCACCGCCACAGTAACTTCATTCGTTGGCTTCCCGCGAGAGAGAAACGGCAAGCGGTAGGGCGGCAGATTCATCACGACGAGCCGTTTTGCGCGTATTAAAGCACAGACCCAATCACAACTTGAGTTTCTCTTACTGCTGGTCGTATAAAAATTTTCACATGCAGTTGAAAATTAATTCAATTATATTGTATAGAATTGCCCAGTTTAGGAGTGTAATTTATTCAATAACTTGAGCTGTGTACGCTCGAGTTACTTTGAAGTCGGGCATGATTGTTTGCAAGTCAAGGAGTAGCTGGGTCATGCCAAAACCACCACAGTAAGGCACAAAAGGTCATGGCTGAGCTTCCAGCATGCTATTTTCATCCCTGTCACTAAATCGTGTAACCATCGCGTGTTTCCTATCAATTCCCTTTGTAAAACGTTTGCCAACGAGGAACACACCCGTCTTTGCGTTTAAACACAAAACGTATTCCAAACGGATATCGAAAGTGGCTCCTGTGAAAACAAAAATTGTACCAGGAAAAAAACACAAACTAAGGCTGCTGAACGAGGCAAATGCATATTTATAATCCTGTTAGTAGCACCAGGCATTTGCACGAACACAAAAAAAATGAACTGGCAAGCGTCAAGTGCCCCAGCTTTGGTACAGCAGAGCTCCAGCAAGCGATTTTGGAAAATAAATGCCAGCCCAGCCAGAGGTCACAGAATTTAGAAATACAATTGTTGACAAAGACATCAATTTGCAGCATAATAAAAAAAACAACAGACTGTCATGCTAATGTAAAAAAAACAACTATATAAACGTGCACTTGGGTTAGCGAGAGCATTAATACTTTCATCTGTGATGTATTTGTGATGCATTTACATCACCTTGATTTAATGAAGCCATGCAGCCTGTAACCCATACGTTCAATACAATCACTTTGTTCATTGCTTTGTTCTCTAAACAGAGAAAATCAATGATTCAAACCCTTGCCAGGGTTGTCAAGAGTTATCTTTGGCGTCGGCAAAAGTTGTCGAAATCAACAACCAATTAAAAAGCGGTCGGAGGGGTGCTGGGAGTATGCGGTGATCGAGAGGCAG